GCGAACGATTTTGAGCCACGTCATTCAAGGTCTCTAACCATCGATTATTATCATCTCGCGGACCCCAACCAGGTAGTCGACAATTACCAACATGGCTAAGTCCACTCGTCAATGACTTCATGGATTTATGCCATGTTTTGGTTTAGCCGCCCCTAGCTTTCTTCCGACCTATTCCTGCACTACAAAACAAAGCTCGACGAGGCAGTCGGTGGTTAGGCATACGCAACACGTGTCCCAACCACCTCAACTGATGAAGTTTCACCACTTCATCGATTGATCTGCCATTCTTACCTAGTACCCGTTTCCTAATAACAGCGTTGCTAACTCGGGTGTCCCACGATATACGAGCAATGCTTCGAAGACACCTATGATCGAAAACCAATAACCGACGAGTATCTTCTACTCTCATTGGCCATGTTTCACAGACATAAAGTAAGACGGAGCGAACCACTGCGCAGTACACTCGTCCTTTAGTCAGCAAACGGATATCTCGCCTACGCCATAAGTGACGCAGGTTGGCAAAAGCCAATCGAGCCTTCTGTATCCAAGCTGAGATTTCGTCAGTCATCAGGCCATCAGCACTGACGAGACTCCCAAGTTAAGTGAAGCGGTCTACACGTTCGACCACTTCACTCCCTATCACTAGTTCAGGTGCCGATGACACCCAATCTTGAAGCAACATTTTGCATTTCGAGGGTGAGAACCGCATCCCGAACATGCTTGCATTGTTGCTTAGGGTAGTCAGAAGACTCTGCATTTTTTCAGCGTCTTCACCAAGTAGGACAATGTCATCGGCATATTCTAAGTCAATAAGCGAGCCACCCGGTAAAAGGTCTACTCCAGAAAATTCAGACGAGGATAAGGTAATTTCTAGGAGCATGTCTATGATAAAATTAAACAAGAAAGGAGAAAGTGGACATCCCTGACGGACACCACTTGAAGTAATCCATTCCGATGACAGTTCGCCATAAGCTCTCACTCGACCAGTGGTGTTTGAGTAGAGAGCTTGTATGAGGTTAATGTACTTATTTGGTACACCTTTCAATGACAGACACTGCCACAGAACCTCACGATCCACTGAGTCAAATGCCGCCTTAAGGTCCAGGAAAACAACTATTGTAGGACGCCTAAATGTGTGTCTGTGTTCCAGGACTTGTCGTAGTGTGAAAATGTGGTCTATACAGCCACGTCCAGGTCGAAAACCAGATTGATTTTCTCGAGTTTGCTCTTCACGAGCTTTCGTTAAGCGTCGAAGTATTACTGAGGCCAATATTTTAGATACTATATTAGTTAGACTTATTCCTCTGTGGTTGTCACAAGAAGACTTCTGTCCTTTCTTATAGATTGGGACAATCAGTGATTGAGACCAGTCGGATGGTATTGAGTCCAGTTCCCAGATTCTACCTAAGATCTCAGCCAACCTAGCTGCTAAAACTGAACCACCATCCTTAAATATCTCAGGGGTCAGTCTATCAGGACCTGCAGCTCGTCCTCGCTTCAGATTTCCTAAAGCTTTTTCAACTTCATTAAGACTAGGAGGACTTACGTCGATTTGCCATTCAGGATGACTGGAGATCGTGGGTAACCGGAGAATGGCTCGAGGCCAGTTGAACTGATCCCTAAAGTGTTCTGCCCATCGATCCAGTCTCCTGGATTGAGAATGAATAATAGTCCCGTCATTTTCTGAGATAGTCTCACTTACACTAGGATTCCTAATACCAGTTTCCTTGATAAGTCGGAAAAGTTGTCTACTGTTGCCGATCGCCGCTGCCTTTTCCATCGCTTTTGCTTTCGCCACCCACCACTGTTCGCGATCGTTACGTAGGCTTTTCATAAGTCTGCGCCTAAGTTGACTTCGTTCTTCATCATGCTCAGAGCCAGGTGGGATGAGTTTTCGGGCATCCATCAGATCGGTGGATGCTACTGAGATCCACGGTTTCATTCTTGCCTTATGGTCAACCTTACTAGCAGATATCACTGCTGTTTCCACAGCCTTTTTGATATCATTCCATCCAGCTTCCGGATGGGAATCGCTTAAATGGTCGCCTAACTGTCTTTCTAGTTGTTCCTGAAATATATTTTTCGCCTTATTATCATTAAGTAAAACCCTAAGAGGCTTTCTTACGGTGTCTTTCCTACGCCCAGTAAGCTTCAAACAAATACGCGCTCGCACTAGGGCATGATCTGAGTCTAGGCATGTGCCCCAGAACGAGCGACAGTCCTCTATCGAACCCCTCCATCGGTGGCTGATGGCGATGTGATCTAGTTGAGTCCAATGTTGAGACGACTTTGGAGGTCGCCAGGTCAACAGATGCTTTTCCTTATGCCTAAAGTTAGTGTTTGCTAAGAATAGGCGGTTGTCTGAGCATGTTTGCAACAGACGGTCACCATTGTCTGTTCTCTGAGCCGGGACACCATAACATCCACCTAGGTGTCTCTCCTGCTCACTTAGTCTACCTACTTGAGCATTAAAGTCACCAGCCATTATTACAATATCAGAGCGCCTAGCTTTTTGGAGGAGGTCCGAAAGCTTTCTGTAAAACTCATCCTTAACCTCCTCTGAACTGCATTCAGTGGGGGCATAGGCAGATACGATGAAGAGGCAACGGCGATTGTCCCTATCTTTCCGAGTCCTTACTGTCCCGTTTAGTCGGACAGCGCACAATCGACTATCTATTGGGATCCAGTCAAGGAGAGATTGGTCTGCCCTACGACTCAATGCTATGCCTACGCCAGCAAGACCCCTGGAAGCAGCATCAGGGCTACCGGATACACGAAGAGTAAATCGAGCTGCTTCTTTATTTTGACATGGTGTGGTCAAGTGTATGACGTGACTCGGATCCTGTATGCGCGTTTCTGAGACGCAGCACACATCGATGGCACGAGATTCTAAAGTCCGAGCTAATGAAGCTTGTTGCCCTATTAGACACAATGTCCGTACATTAAATGCTCCAACATGTAGTCTAGAGCGAGGTTTAAGGAGACCAGGAACGACCTTTCGCGAACTCGTATCGTCTGCATTAGCTGTGCACTGTGATGAATGAATGTAAGAAGAGTTAGTCGTGGAGATAAGAGAGACATTAGGGGGTGTAGGAAGGATTTGATTTTGACCAATTTGGTCTCGCGTGCTGTTATGGGTATGAGGGCGGTTGTCACTTCCCGGCTGCCCACACCGTGGAAGGGTGTTTCTTGAGGGACCTGAAAAGGAAGATAGATTAGTGTTGGTGCGTGACCGCAGAGTCCAAGGGACAACTGCTTGAGGCCGGTCACGCACGGCCTTTTTATGAAATGTTTTTTGAGGATTAGCTCCGTTCTTAAAGGCCCTTAGTGGGCACCCTTACCCAAGGAGACGGAAATCCGTGAGTTAGGGGAGGTGTGACATTTTTAGGGCCGACCTTTTCTAACCCTTCCTTCCTTGTGAGAAGGCAGCATCGCTGCAGATGCTGGTTGTCCGAGGGAAACACCTTATTGCTGTCACACCCCTCTGCAGTCAGCAGTACGACTTCGTCCTCAGACCTTGGGTAGCTGCTTTTAGTCTCATCGTTCTCCAATCGACCTGCCTGGCATGGTAGGACCTGCAGGAACATATGTTCCAGCCAGTATAGCTCGGTTGGGTCATCACGATAGGCAAGCCCGACCACCACGTCAAGGTAGCAGCTACGGTCGGGAAATAAACTTAAAGAGAAAAAGATAAAAGCGATGAGTAATTCGGGTCACGATTTGAGAGAACACAATGAATGAATACACCTGCGCCATTGCAAACGGTTTTGAGCCCATGACATTCAAGCTCTCTAACCATCGATTACGATCATCTCGCAGACCCCAACCAGGTAGTCGGCACCTACCAACACGGCTCAGTCCAGTTTTTAGTGATTCCATGGATTTGTGCCATGTTTTGGCCTGGCCGCTTCTAGCTCTCTTCCAGTCTACTGCTGCACCTCAAAACATAGCTCGTCGAGGCAGTCGGTGGTTAGACATACGTAACACATATTCCGCCCACCTCAACTGAAGAAGTTTCACTACGTCATAAACTGATTTGCCATCCCTACCTGGTACTCGTTTCCTAAAGAAGTACAGTAACCTTGTGCAAGCTCTCTACTCGAACACTACTGGTCAAGTTAGAGCTTATGGCGAACTGTCATCAGAATCGATCACTTCAAGTGGTGTTCGTCAGGGTTGTCCACTTTATTTATTCTTATTCAACCTAATCATAGACATGCTTTTAGAGATAAAATGATCTTCGTCCGACTTTTCAGGGGTGGACCTTCTACCAGGAAGACAACTATTCACTAAATTATACTTCTTGAATAATTTCTGCATATCGTAATGTCGATTGCCGCCAATACTGTTACTACATTAACCACTATGGGAATTAAATTGACTATTGCATCTCTGTGCTAATGTGGTATGACAGCTTGAACTGAAGTACTTACGTAGGAAGTTCGACGTCGTGGCTGACTGACTGTATTATTTTTATCTTCATTCTTCGTTAAGTTCTGAAGTGCAAATAGTCTTGCTCATTTTGAGTTAGTAGTGTTTCCTTATCTGAAGATTACGTTCAATTTATTTGAAGACTTAAGTGTTGTCTTGAAATTTCAGTTTAAAGTTTTGCGCGCAAAAGTATTATCTTACTGTGTGAAAATAACATATTTTGCTGTCTATTTGTGTTGTTGTTTGGTAGCAGTTTTTCTTGCGGCTTTCGTTAATATTTGGACTTCATAGATAGTCCTCACTTAGTGACTTCACGTCGACTCATCCAGTCAGTCATACAGCGGAGTTAAAACTATAGTTATCCGACAGTTCTAATGTATTTTCATTTGTTAATGTTTCAAGTGAAAAAAATATTAGATTATATTTGTAGTATATCGTATTTCTGTCAAAAAAGTTTGCAATTTTCTAGGAATTTTTCTTTACATTAATCCTTCTGAAAAGTAGTAAATTTGACAATAATTGATCTTCGAAGCATTTTATTTTATAAACTTTGTTTTCTTTTATTGTAGGCTGCCATTCTGCTTTAAAATGCATACGGCATGTTAAATGAGATAGACTTACTCAATACTTTACCTAAGGGTGTAGATATTTATGCACCTCAAGCAAATGACAAGTCCTGTGCTGAAGGAACATCGGATCCGTTATCACCTTTAAACTCTGATGCGAACCAGCCTCTTAGACCGTTTTCCCATCCCTCGCACTTATGTAATAAGGATATAACTTCTCCACACTGTCTCGAAGACCATGTAGATACACCTGGGGTGGTTAGCTACCCAAGACCAGCCAGCACTCCAGCGTCCAGTAAATCTGTTAGATATGGTGCGAAAAAGCTTAGTGAATTCTGTCCATTTTCCGGAACTGGTAGACATTCAAATCCGTTGCGTGGCGAAAATCCTGTCTCCGAAAAACGTGAATCCTGCCATTTTGATAGTTTTACACCTTCAACGTTAACGCCGCCCAAAGGAGATTCACCGGTAGATCCAGTTGTGAATGATCTGGTAAACAAAACAGTCCCATGCGAATTAGACGATCAAGACTCTTTGTTCACTACAAAGACGTTGACATTCACGGCGGACAACAATGAGATGCATGCTAATCAAATTCCTTCTGTCTTTGATCAAAGTGAGCCATGGAATAGAACTGACATTATAAGAGCTGGAATAAAACGGCCACATTCCGCCTCATTGTGCTACACTCACTGTTCAGATGGTGTAGATCTTTTAACGCGTCCTCTCTCAGCGCCAAAACGTCTAATAGAGGAAGTACATGTATCTTCTAATCTGAATAGTATTTTACCATCTCCTAATGATACTCCAATCTCTTCAGCTAAGTTCTCAAACACTAATTCTGACGCCCCTAAATCTACTCTTGAAGCTTTGGTGGCCTCAACATCTCCGTTGACATTTTTCCCACATGAATTTCCAATCGATTCAGAATGTGATGAGAAATTCCCAGAGTTCGCACCTCAGATTTCACACGGCTTAATGAATAAAAATATGAACGACTTATCTTATTCAATTGATTTGACATCACCAAATACTGAATTTTCTGTCAGAGGAGAGGTTGATTTAAATGCTGTTAATACTAATTCAGTTTCATCATCAAAATCTATGACATCCTTAGATTTAAATGATCCTAATTTTAAATGTCCAAACTCTCATGGTAGTCAGAAATCTGTATACAGTGATCTGGGTTTAATCACTGACGTTTTCCTAGAAAATAATAATACATCTGCGGTAACACATATGAATGAATATGTTCAAGCCATAAGAACATATGCTGCTGAGTTATGCCCAGTAGACTGTGTGATATTACTTGAACATTGTCGACCTTTCAACTGTGATAGCCTTTTCATGAAATATTTTCGTGATCAATATCTTTGTCCAATTTTAAGGTAAGTGCATTTTTAATTAGTTTATTTAAACTAAAATTTACGGTCATTTTTTATTTTACTCATCTAATCGTGTCAAACTTTTATAGGATTGGTTCGATACCACGCATTTAACAGTTAGTGTGTTTGCATTATACTTTATGCAAAAGAAAAACTCAATTTCTTGGCTTGTACTAGGAATTAGATTATGTGGTTACCAACTTCTGACAAATCTAACACATTAAAAAATTAAAAAAGGTGGTATCAATATTATTAGCAAATGAAATCCCAGTAATTTTATCGGAAATATTCCTTCTGGCTTTGACGGCTAGGTTTCTTCTAGATGGGATCCAAAATTTATCCTACACACTGTTAGCTAAAGGCAAATAATTTTTTGTTTTACTACTACTTTTTAGTGACTTTTTATGTTAATATATTTTCTGAATGCAAACAGTCTTGAAAATTATGCCTTTTGATTGTTCATCAGAGTCCCACTTTTATATGGATGATAGCTCTGCAGGACTGCCTAGCTTATTCTTAACAAGGAATTAAAATTCACTGATTTCCGCAAACATCAATATTCTGAGTGCTCAATCTTTACAGCCTTCATAACTGAAGATTCTAAGGTATGAAGCTCAGTAGCTTAGCTATACCTTCCAAGTCACTGTCGCAAAAGCTGACATTTAAAAGCACAGTATTATCCCTAGTTTCTCGATTATATTTTAGCTTAGCGCTCTGAAATTCTTAGTTTCTTGAGCTGTCCATTTGTTAGTTTGAGAGTATCTAGTGGTTTGCGTTAACAATTACTAAACCAATTTGGATTTTTTTGAATTCCCTGTTAACTCGATCAATAACTACTAAACCCTCATTTCTAAAATTTTAAACCGCCTGAATTCGGTTCCCTTACACTTCTATTAGATCAGTTTATCATATATTTTGGTAATAATGTTACAAGCTGTTCTAGAACTCCACAAAAGCCTGGATTATTTTCATGGCTAAATAAATAAGATATTAGTAGTATAGAATTTCGAAATCCATATCTTATACTTTTGATTTTAGAAATAAATTGTCAAGGTATGGAAGATAGATAAGTAATAGTGAAGTTATTCATTGTTTCATTCGGTCACGTGGATAATATATGAGATAAAAAAAGCTAGATTTATCCGATTTTTATCAAAACCAAAAGGCATATATATATATATATATATATATATATAGTGCATCATATATATTAACCAAATCATGAAAATGAACAGCATGAATGTAACGCCACACTTTATTCTGATCAACGTTTCAAGATGTTTTTCATTTGTACATTAGATTTTATTTTATTTAAAATTTAACCTTATTACGTAACTATGTGATAATCTCTAATTATATTTGTATTTGTATATGTCGTGTTCACCTGTAGCAATTTAAATGGAGGTCCCCCACTAAATGCTGATTTTGGAAGAGATGTGAGTTATAATTTATTTTATTGAATTGTATTTGCAAATTATTGAATTATTAATTGTTAAAAGGAATTTTTCTCATTCACCTACTTATATCCACTTATAATAATAATAATCCAAGAATTAATAACGAATAAATAACCTTCTAGAATAATCCGTACTGTTTGAAACTGTCTGATTCAACCGGAATTGTATGTATGAACTTACCCCCTCGAAATGACACATCATTAATTCGTTCACTAGATAATGCAGAGGTTGTCTACACATAACTGTTTTTTTCCTCATTCATTCGGTCATCAACAACAATTTTTTGTAGAACTGAATTGCTTCCACTCCATTTTGTGTATGTATTACTAGTAGTTATATTATACGCAGTAAAAACTAATAACATAAATAAGCATTATTATTGTTTTCAAGTTAATATTCCACATGTGTATTTACAAGTAATATAACATAGTTTTGAATAGTTATTATTAACGATTTCAATTCAGTTGATAAATCTCTAAAATTAATCACTATACATTATTCAATGATGTATTAAAGTATAGATTTCTTATATCAATAGAGTGTCCATTATTTCAGTGCAAAATAGTTGACAGTTAAAAGTTAAAACATTAATAAATTCACTTATTCAACTTCAATTATAAAATGATTATACCTTAATCAATTATGCATAATACTTGTAATAAAACGAATGTTATTGTTTTATTGATATAATCAATGTTTTTTTTTCATTGAATTAATAGGGATAGTTATTGTTTAATTTTTACAAAAATGTACTCATACACTTTAACAGGTTTTTTTGTAAATCTCTTTAGTCATAAAAATTCTTGGTATTCTCGCTAGTTATAGTTAAATTTTGTTGTAAATAAAATATGATTAATCGCACATGTTCACGTGTTTGTAATGTACAAAAGTGTGCAAGTTATAACACCGGTATCTCCTAAAACGATAGATATCATTCATTCATTTAAACGTACATTTTTTGTTATATCACTGTGTCCTGCAGTTAAGTTATAATTCAACATCTTCCATTCTTTTGTTTAGAATAGGCGGAGTGTGTTTCTAATTTATATGTTGATCATCTATGATTGTAGTTGTGTTAGTAATGTACTTAGCACATATTTATTTAGCTCAAATGACTATTTCATGAAATCAAGCGTTAGAAATACCATTTTTCAATACTAGCGCAATTGAAAATTCTAACTACGTTCAAACTTCACTCGTCTATTTGGGCTAAAAATGTTCACATCACTTATTTCTTCATTCGTCATCAGAGACAAAGAAAATTAGTTGTTTGATATTCAAGCTTCCAGAAGTTAGATCATGTTGGTTATCTTAACCAGGTCAAGTAAATAACTACACTTCCGTCTTGTAAATTAAATGAGTTTCTTATAAACAATTTATATTCGTAAATTCTGATCCTAGATTTCTGTCTAGTGTAACCTTTGCTTTGATTGAATATTTAAAAGTTTTAAACTGTAGATTAGGACTGTATTTTAAAAGACTAGTGATTCCATGTAATAAGCATGATTTATTAACATTATGTATGCTGCAAATGATAGGGATCCATTGGTAACAGAAAGAAAAGAATTAGATGTGCTGAAGATGAATCAAAGTTGTTGGTCTACTGAGCTCTGGGAAAGCTCGTTATAAGAAACAAAACGTAACATAAACGAAAAAAAAATCTACATAAAGTTTCTTTTTATGTTATTCATTAAGACATTATTATTTAGCACATATAACTATAATAAAATAGACAGATATTGTATCATTCAAGAAATTAGTGTGTGCATCAAGAAAGTGAGATTATAGCCTGAAGAGTAATGCAAAACAGTAAGATGAAACTTAGCCATATTTAGCAAAGATTATTCTAAGAAAAGAATGAGTTCACAGTTTCTAAAGTTATGAGGGGGAGAATGGGTAAATGGTCAGAGGATTTCAGGAATCAGTTCAACTGGCTTTCAGCCACACTTCGGTTGCTCACGATCTCCAGTCAACCTGAGAGGCAAATCGACGTAAGTCCTGTAACGCTTTATAAAGTTGAAAAAGCTATAGGAAATCTAAAACGCAGGAAAGCAGCGGGCCCTGATAGATTGACCTTTGAGATCTTTAAGGGTGGTGGTCCAGTTTTCGCAGCTAGGTTGACTGAGATCTTAGGTAGAATCTGGGAACTGGACGTAATTCCATCCAACTGGTCTCAATCCCTGATTGTCCCAATTCACAAGGAAGGACAAAAGTCCTGTTGTGACAGTCACAGACGAATCAGTTTAACTAACATAGTATCTAAATTATTAGCCTCGATAATACTTAGACGACTAACTGGTGCTCGTGCAGAGCAGACTAGAGAAAACCAGGTTGGTTTCAGACCTGGACGTGACTGTATAGACCACAATTTCACACTACGATAGGTCTTGGAACACAGATACACATTTAGGCGTCCGGCAATATTTGTTTTCCTGGACCTCAAAACGGCATTTGACTGTCGATTGTGAGGTTCTGTGGCAGTGTCTGTCATTAAAAGGAGTACCAAGAAATACGTTAACCTCATACAAACCGTTTGCAATGGTGCAAGTGCATTCATTCTTTGTGTTCTGTCAAATCCTAACCTTCTTAATTCCTCACCACTTTTATCTTTTTCTCTTTAAGTTTATTTCACTAGATTCTACTTCTTGAAGAATATTCTCGATCCCTCATCTCTCCGATTACTGCTAATATTTCTACTACCCCTACTATTATGGGATTTGAATTGACAATAGCGTCTCTGTGCTAGTGCGGTAAAGCAACTTGAACTGATGTACGCACGTACGTACGAAGTTTGCAGTTTAACTGACTGACTGAAAGTTATGAGGGAAGTATTATTGTCATAATTTTGTAAGACCAAGACAAAATCAAGGCCTGAAGCAATTTTTTTTTAAGTGCACACGCAAGGCTTGAAATTGTGTATTCCTAACGTTTCTACTGTGCATAGACTTCTCATTCACGTTTCTTATGAGCCGAAAATACTTCTAAAAAGGTCATATAACCAGAATTGACTGTCTTCGAACATTTAACCATTGACTGTTTTACACTTGCCTTCTCATAACAGTTCAGGTTAACGCTAGGAATCTGTTTGAAGAAAGCACGCTTTTAAAAAGGTCTACAATTCTATTATCTCTAATTTAAATGATCTTCATTTGTTAGACACTATATTAAGTAAACTGCGACCTTACCTCATCAGTGGGTACATTGACATTACGGCGAAATAGTTAAAATTTCCATTTAGTCGAACATTACTGCCGTAAAAGAAATGTATCGTGAAAAATGGACATTTTCGCAATTCTGCAATTATTTTTATAAATGATTGAAGTGAAATGATAACTAAAATGTTTGTTAAGAATCACTTGGAAGTAGTTTTAAATTAAAATGACGCGTTTGGCTAATATCAAGCCTGAATAGAAGTGATGCGCACTAATGATGGTATTCTGCTACTATAAAGGTGAATTTGTATTTACTATCAGAGATAAGCAATTAATCGTTTGACTTGATTGTGGTCGAGTTGTCGCTGCTCACAAATTCGAATTTATGTATCTAATCTCTACAATAGATGATAGATCGTCTTCATAAGTTTAAAAACATTGCATAATGTGATCATATACGATCTGTTCTACCGAATACTACAGTTTGAAGTACTGTTTAAACTCACGGGTAATATCTTGATTATTCATTTTAACCATTTCCTGAACCCAATCATTGTGCAAACTGAGTAAGCCATCAATGAAATTTTCGCTGAACATTGGATGGTCGATTCCGTTTATTATGTTTACTGAAAATTTCAAGTGCCTATACTGTGTGAGGAGATTGTGAATAGGCATTGTTGGCATGTGCCAAACTAGGACGAAAAACAAATTTTCAGTGCTTGTTAGTTTACATTTTTTACTACTTAATGTCTATCCATTGTAAAAAATAATACTTGATATAATTAAATTTATTATTTCTTATTCTAGGCCTATACATCTCTTTACTCACTTCATGGTTATTGTTGGCGCAAACCATTGCAAACAACTACGCTGATGCCTGATACACCTATAATTTATAAAATTCTAAAACGAGTTGCTACTATGCAACATGAATCACGTCATACCAGTGATCAAATTAATCCTTCTGAAGGCACGCCTGGTCATGAATTATTACAAGCAGCAGTCAAAGAATTCGATGCTATCGATCGAGCACGGCGTGGCTTATGCAAAAAGGTTCAAAGGCATCTGATCCTCCTAGCTATGTCTCCAATCGATTTAAGTAAACTCTGGCAATCAGATTCATCTTTTATAGGATTGGAAGACTATGATTCTAACTTAAACTCTCAGGAACCACTGAGAAATTTAAAGATGAGAGGAGTTGCTTTGAGTGTTTTTTCACCTGTCCAAAGTCCAAGTCTTTTAAAACTGTATGAATTAGTTAATGGTATTCCAGCTGCACCGTTCTATGATCGACGCTGGCAAACAGTTGCTCTATCAGGTATTTCCGTTTTTGATTGCTGATAAATTTGGTTTCTTTTTTATGTAACCACATTAGTCATGTGCATGAATTTCTGTTAGCCCACTAAATGGGTTTGTGGTCAGTATTTTTACTATTTTTTTGGTTATGTGTCAGTCTTTTCGTCTGAAGTAATAACAAGAAGAGTAATTATTTCATTGTCAAGGATGTGCTTCATATGTAGATAGTTTTTTCTGTTCACCATTTTGAATTTACAGAGTGAAAAGAGGTGTAGAATATGATTCCTACATGGTTAGTACCAATCTGCAAAACTTGTTAATCGGAATTGTGTTATCATTTTGTTTTTAATATCAAGTCTGTTCAGTAGACCATATATATATCTTTGCACTTACTGTTGGGGACGTTAGATCGCCAGAACTCACTTGATAAAGGTCCTAATTTTAGATTTTATTCATGGGCTGATCAGTTGACCTTAAGATTACATTTACCACCCGGAAAATCTCTGACTGTCATTGGTTGATGTGTTATTTTAGTACGCTATTTTTGTGGCTCTCCCAAGGACATTTCTATCATGTAAAAATAAACTCGATTTGTGTGCTTATGAACCTCAATCTCATATTTTCTGGGTGCTTGTAGAATACACTTTCTACGCCATATCAAAACTTCTTCTACTTAGTGGGGCCTTGGGACGCTCGGATTAGAGTAGCCTATTGTGTCACAGGATCATTTGTCTTCGCCCTCGTTTACCGACTAAAGTAAACTCGTAATAGTTCAAGCACATAAATTGACGAACATAACACTTACAACACACGAAAGATGTTTACTTAAAAATTTGATTTTGATATGTTATAATTCATTTATGAAAATTTCGATGAAAACTGATGAAAAATTGCTATAGTGGAAATCGAAGTTTCCTATCCATTGGTCAACGGGTTAGAAATTTCTCTACTCTAGATTTCGATTTATCCTGCTTTGTGACGATCTTACTAAGAGATCCGTTTCTCTGTTGAACTGATTAACAGAAATCATTTACTGAAACCGTGAATCGATCAATGTTAGACCACCATTAGAAACCTGGAAGCACTGGACGGCCGTTTCGTCCTAGTATGGGACTCCTCAGCAGTGCGCATCCACGACTCCTGCACCCCGCAGGATTCGAACCCAGGACCTTCGGTGTTGTGCGCGAACGACCTAACCGTTAGACCACTGTAACTTAACAATCTTCACAACCCCGTAATAAAAATCATTTAGTCACTTTTTCATTTTAGTTCTAGATTCTTCAAAATTGTGTATAAATAGTGGTATTTTTCCTAAATATCAACTATTTGTAATTACAAGACAAACTTTGTCTTCCGATGATCCACGATTGATTGAGGTATAAGAGTATGAGGTTAGTAGTCATAGGTTTTATCAAAACGTTTACTAATAACGGACAAGATTGAACATCGACAATATTATTTGAAAAGACAAAATAAAGGTTTGTATCAAGGAATACTGGAATTGAAGACCGGGAAAAGAAACAGTGAAACCTAAAGTCTGCAACCATTTATTACAATGATCGCACAAATGCCAACTCTAATAGTCTGTATCTACCTACATGATCCAAAGCAACAATCAGTATCATCATGAATTGATTGCATGTTTTCGTTCGGTCTCCTAGCTTTCTTGTAGCTTATTACTACGGGAATAAACATCGTCGCTTATTTACGTGTAAGCTTCGTGAGCTAAAATACGCTAACTTCGTTGGCTTAAAAAGATTAAGAAAAAAAATTAGTAGATCTACACAATACTGACGCCATTAACGTTGTGTGAATTCCCTGAACTGCCATTACCTCCTAAATTGAATGTTGTAGACAAGAAACCGAATGGAAATGCACCAATACCTACAGACATTCGGAAATTACTTCCATCAGAACCACCGAATAATCCTCCCCAGGTGCTTCCGAAGCTTCCCAAACCTGGTTCTGGCTCAGTACGCCGACCAGCTGGGCGAGGAGGGATTTTAGTACGAGGGTCTTGTGTATGGTCTGCACCACGTCCATAAAGAGGAATAACTTTATCACTACTGATAGCAGCCTTGCAGACAGGACATACTGTCCGAGTTTCAGCAGTTTCAAGCCATCGATGGAGACATGGCCAACAAAATAAGTGACCACACATACTGACAACAGCATCTCGAGCAGAATCGAGACATATATTGCACTCAAAAGATCCTGTTGTCCCGTTGCTATCAGTTGTCTTTTCAGATACTGATAGTATCGTACACCTGAAGATTTTGCAAAAATACTGATGTTTTCTTGACTCAAAAACCTTTCATTTATAATTTCTCCATTATATACTGAAAGCAGCACATATGTGTGAATACAAGGGTAGAGAATTCTTCACTTTTTGTAAGGTTCTTTTATGTAAACAAAAATAATTAGATGTTTCAGTTGATTGACGTTCTTCAACTTCAAATTTAATTCATTTTATTGTGTACTTCAAACAACCAGTGAAATCTTTTACACACCTGTTTAAGCTAATACTTCTGTTGGCTGCTAAAGCATTCATATTCAGTAATGTTTTGTGAGTTTTACTAATTGGTTTGAAACTATTAGATAACGTTTTGTGACCTCTCTTGTGTATACTTTAAACAATATGGATGGTACTCATGATAAAAGCAGTCGATATCCTAACATATAAACATGTTTGGTTAATGATTCCTTCACAGACTGTAGTGTTAAAAATTTCTAAAAGTACTTTAACAGATAGCTTTTATATACAAATCACTTTCGAGATGGTGTATCATGAATAAATGTATCGGATCGAAACTGTCACTGACATTGTCTGTCATATGTTGAATATGTGCGTTAAACTTATCGTTGTAAAAAGAACGAATAGACTGTGTTACATCAAAGCAATAAATAGGATTTCAATTATTATGGGATGTATTGTATTGCAATCAGATAATATTTTAATAATAATGGTAAAGTGTTAACGCCTCGTCTGAGTCATTCACTATAATTTAATAGCATACGTAGGATGAACTTGTCATAAAACATCACCGACTGGAACTTTCATTGTTAGGTTAAGCATTAATCTAATAAATTTTGTGGTTGATCAAGCTTCAAATCAACTTCTATAATTCTATGCTATCCAGTAATGACATAAGTAACATATTGTAGAAGTTATAAATTTAAGTGAGTACATTCTCATGTTAATTAATTTATGAGTTAACTACAAGCATATGAATGTGCTATGTTCTTGTCGAAGAGATTGGTGATAATTTTATGTTACCGCTTATCTTGAATGCTTTTTGAAAATTTTTCCTAATGCCATAATTATATGTTTTAGATCTTTTGGATTGTTTTATTTTTCAATTTGATAGTTTTCAATCTAATATACATAGTTAATATAGTATTTTCAACTTCTTATTCATACTAGACAAATTAATGCAATCCGATATACCAGAAAGACGAATTGTTGGTCCAATGGCTGCAGCTTTTCATGCTCAAACTGAGGCTGAATTGTCTATTATCGAGCATAAACAACTCTCTAAACAGACACTTACAAATGGACATTCCAATAGAATGCTTGATGATTCTCATCCACCGACTCATACAAGTGCACTGACAACAGATCATGGTTCAAATAACCGTTGTGTTGTTACCAGTAATAACAAATATCAAATTCAGGAGCAGAATTCACAACAATCCACATATTGTACAGAGACGTCTGCTTATCCTATTACTTCAAATTCATCTCTAAATATAGCGACAGATAGTTCTTGCCGTGCTAATTCAAACTCTACTGGTGGAAACATTTCATCCCAGTGCACAAACGATGGCTTATCACCTATGGCAGTTACACAAGTATGTGGTATATATAATAACTTTCAAAAATATTTCTAATTAAAAATTAGGTGAATACAATTACAATCCCATTTCCCAACTGTTGTAATTGATTATTTCATGCCTTATTCTACTTTGATTGACTTATACTATCAAGACAGTTGTCAATATAGAGAAATATTTGAATTATGGACATGATAAATTTAAAGTGTTTTACGACAACCATTTTATTGAATGATTGAACAGTTAAAAACAACAAATCGTATTTAAAATAGAGGGTTGTAAACACCTCACATATTTGTTAGATTGTTCAAATATCATACAAAATGGGAACATTTGTTTGGCATAGCTGTCTCAGTAACACCTATCTGGATATTTTAGTACTGAATAGTCTGATCAGAGTGTTATTGTACACAACTCAAATGCTCATCATTGTCTATCCCATATTCGTTTACTCAGCAGAGATATCAAAATCCTATTCTATTAGCTGGCTGATTAGAGACTCATCAGCAGTGCGCATCCACAACTCCTGCACCTCGCAGGATTCGAACCCGGCACCTTCGGTCTTGCGCGCCAACGCCCTAACCTTTGGACCACTGGGCCGGCATCCAACGGTGTTAATGTCTAACTCTGATTGTTTTTGGGATTTTGCGTGACCTCACCCATTTGTCTGTCTTTGGTAGTTCCTGCCTACACCCGATAGGGTTAAACTCCACTGGTCACGTGTTCTGACTAGAGTTTCCTCACAAAGCTAGTCACTAGTGAGCAAATTTTACGATTTTCAATTACACATTTGAAATCATCAATCAATCATTGTTAGACCACTATTAGAAACCTGGAAGCACTGGATAAGCGTTTCGTCCTGGTATGGGATTTAAGATTTTAATTCTTCCTGCTACGTCTTCTGAGTAATCGTACTGGACAGTTTATCCTAATGTCAGCTTACTTAACTAAAAGGATGTAAGGAATTGGGTACTACAGTCATATTTTCTGTCGATTTATCTGTTGTTATTGCAAGTCGTCCATGTCATCGTAATAATTCAATTAACCATATCAACTTGAAACCAATGTTTTTATCCTTAGTTGATCTTCTATCTATTCAACGACTTTAGCAGTCTGAGAACAGATCAGTTAGACGTAAAACTTATCAATCCCGTGCTACTAAAATTATGCACCTACCTCGTTGAGAATGATTCTGATCCATGTTAACCAAAATTTCTAACCTTTGTTTACGGTAACCTTGCAAACTCTAAACTGTAGAATAAGTATCCTGTTACCTCTGTCTTAATCATTAAAGTTGTAAATAAAATGCTTTTAAATAAATTATGACTAATTTCGTTAACTTGAGCAGTTCAGATTTCGAATTGTGCTTTTTGACATCAAATTTTGAATCAGATGTTTAAATTCATGCACATTAGTTGGCGTCCATACGTGACATTGTAAGTCGTTGTGTAGTAATTTCAGGTGATTTATGCAGTTACACCCTACAAAGTAACCTATTACACGTAAAAAGGAAACTGGTTGCTCAAAGCTACTTTTTTTGTCCTAATATCGGTGACCAAACTGAAGAACTGGTTAATCAATGTAATAAATGTTCCCAAGCATCACAGTGCCTTGCACCGGAAAATTGAGAAGAATCCTGTTGAACCATGTCGTCTTATTCATGTTAAGTTTGATGGCAATTCCACGGTAGTCGTTTATTAATGTGTGTCTTTCTATGTTATTCTGAATAGCTATCAACATTTTCCAAGAATCACATTAACTGCTACACTATTTCAACTCTAGTTATTTTATTGTTTCGGTCACTGATAATATTCAGAATGAACTAGTAACTGTCTTTGCGTTTATCTTTATTCGCCTCCGAGGTGAACAAGTGCTTCAATACCACACGGATGAAATATATTGTATGTACTTCAAGTAAGAGATCAAAAGTCGGTTCGATATTCAAATCATATATAGGATTCTTTAGAAATAGTGTATATAACAGACAGAAAATTACTACTTGATATTATTCTGAAGGTTTAATATGGTTATTTCAATAAAACAGAAAATATACGAACCAAAGCAGATAGATATTAAAAAATCAACACTGAGGAGGCGGTTTAAAGACTTATCTACATTAAGAGGAAATTATAGAACTTTTTCGAGCAATCTTGACAGTAATTAGCTGAACTGGAAATTATGATTTTTGGGATGATTTTGTCACTTTTTGCAAATAAAAAGAATCTTTAGATGGGTTGGTATTGTTATTTTTTGATAACGTTAATGCTTCTTTCCTCTAAGTTTTACAGCTAAAACATTATGTTAAAATAGCCATTTTTAGTTCTGTCTCACTTGCCATATATTCCTAATTGAATTATCGGATGGATGATCACATTTAGTTTACTACTCATTTCTGATATTTCTCACTCCATAAAGTCACAAACTCATACCGTCTTGTTTAAAGAAGAACTAATCATTTAAAACCTTTAACCATTGTTTATCCTTCGTAAACAATGGTAATATCTTATGCTCTAAAATCAATTTTGTTTAGTGTTACGCGTTTTTTAACTACAGGGTTATAAAATGGGCTTTAAATCATCCTGTTTGTGTAGTGACTTCTATTACTATTTAATAGTCGTTACCGAAAAAGGTGGAGGGTTCGAAACTGGAACTCACCGCTCTAGAACTAAGTGGTATAAGCTTTAGGCCGTCAATATTCATATTCTTTACAAGACAAATATATTCAGTAAATGTTTGTTATGCTTCAGTATTATTCCATATAGACATTTTAAATTATGTCATAGTTGTTGGTAAAGCTACATAAAATTCATTGTGTGTGGACTGTTTGATAGAAACTAGCTACAATAGCAGTTATATATATATACATATATATATATATACATATATATATATATATATATATATATATATATATTAATGCATGTATATTTAGAAATAGTGGTATATGCATATATATAAATATATGTGTATATATATGTATATATAACCGCATAAAATGTAAATTTACAATAGGATAATATATGTAAATATATGTGTACATACGTGGGGTGATTGAAAGAACATTGTTGTTCAACAATTCGGTAAAAAAATGACTAAATCAATATTATCGTGTAAAACATGGGGCGGAATAAACTTAACTAATAATAATAATAATAATAATAATAGTAAAAATAATAATATCAGGTTTAATTGATGAAAAAAAACTTACAGTCAATATGAAATAATGGATTAAAGAAAAAGTAAATTCGCTAATGATTGCCTCCAAAATTTTATTTTATTTAATAACTCATTTAAAAGGCACATCTAATAATTATTGCGATCCTGCTTCAACTACTTTAGTTTAAGAAATCGTCGGTAGTCTGTCTCACTAACATTCGCTCACAGAATATGGTTCAAAGCCAAGTACGTTTTAATTAAATGAGTTGATAACAATAACCATATTAAATCATAAATTCATATTGAATTAATGAATAATTTTTCTTTTTTTCATTGATAGTTTGGTGTAACTGCTTCACCAGTTGGATCCTATCAGCGTGCTCCACGTAATCCATCATCAATTACATCTGCTCAATATCCGCCAAATACTATTCCTAATTATTCTACTCGAACTATTTCTAATAGTCGTAGTGGTTCAGATAATAATAATAATACGAATAATATAATTAATGTACGATCTGTTGAGGTAATTCAAGTGCTTATCCATCATGATACTTTAATTATTCTCGTTAATGTTTTAGTATGATTATTTTTGTTAACAAATTTTTTTACATACATATGACCTTGAGTAAGGAATCAAAATGGAGTAGCTATGTATTTTTTTGTAAAATTGACAGTGCATCTAAACTCATTGAACGAATAAGGTATTGTTCATTGAGGTTCATTTGTATTTTACCAAAATCTTATCCTATCTAACTTCTAAAGAAAGGCAAGATAATCTAGTCGATAAGCTTTTAAGATTAATTAATTGAATTATTGAATCAGAAAGAAAGGAAATTATTCATTCTGCTTCATTTGTTGATCATTTGGTTTAGTGAACTACACCGGAATTTTTTAAGGTCATCGAAAAAATTGTCATATAAGCTAGTGATGAGAGAGTAGTAATAGTCTTTCTTAAAGTATTATCAACCTATTTTTCTTGTTTTGAAATTGACTACTTTTCAATTCAATTTATCATGGATTTAACTCAGTAAGATGCTTTTCTTTATATTTGTATTGCAAATCTACCTAATGATGTAGTATAAATTGATGTGTATATATTGATCAGATTCTATCTATAAAATAATATAATACTCAGTGTTGATTAACTTTCAGATAGATTGAGTTTTTAAAAAGATTTTTATTGGCTTTTACTTTTAATGTATGACTGAAATAAAAACACAATGGTGTTAATAGTTAAAAGATGTATTCATTTATTGTATTTTATAATTCTTAATCAAAATTTATTTTCATGTCTTATGATCTTTATTTATATGACTGAAAAAAAAGTCACATCATACTTTCTAATTATTGTATAATTGTTTTGATGTTTTTGACTTGTAATCTTTCATACTACTTATATTGTTAGTCAGATGATGAAATTTATTTTAATCCAATCATATATTCACTATGTATCATCTAGTGAACAAATCTAATTTAATCAATCAACATAATTCTATCATTTTACAGATTAGAATTGTTGATGATGCTATTTATGTGCATTCATTCTTTATCGTTTTGTATCATTCCATATTTCATATATGCTTTTTCATTTTGCCTGATCAAAACAATATTACAAATGCAATTTGAAATGATTCAACTTATCCTGTTGTTGATAGTTTGACTGAAATTTAATCGACCTTAGTTGGTATATATGAATATCTTATGCATATTGCCTCGATATAACTATTAGGGCACAAGTTTATATAGAATAGATAGAATGTGGTTGGCAGTGATGACGTTTAGAATAACTAGTTCTAGCTTCGAGTCTCATAGTGAACATCAACTTTGGGATGTAGGATACATCCGACTGACGAGTCCCTAATATGAAGAAATGCACATCTTGATTTCCACCGCTAGCTGTATTCTATCTATTCTATATAAAGAAATGGTATGAATCTTCAATCGTTTTTTATCATTAGTAATACGAGATTAAATCGATCTCTACTGTGAATTTGTGTTATATTCATCTTTTCATGTTATTATGGTTTGGAAACTCAAAGGGATTAGACACTTTTGTCAAGCTCTCCACATTGATAAGGAATAATGAACTTATTGACTGTAGAACTATGAAAGGGAAAATCCCTTTTGTTAAACTATCCGGTTTATCATTAAGACACTCAAATTCACTACATTTTTTCCATCATTTCAATATTAATATCATGTATCAAATAGTGAATGAGATTATGTAACTATTTTAGTGATTAAGTTTCAAGCTGAAATGTATATTTAAGGAAAAATAACAAAAAAGGTATCTAAATCTTTTATCTTTTGCTTTGACACTGTTTGTTTTAATCATTAACTAATTTCTCCATTGATGAAAAGGTTGGATTAATAATAAACTTTTCTGTATTGTGGTATTCTGTGGTGAAATGAACTGCTAATAAATTTACTGTTTATTATTTTATGAAGATATGATAATAGCAACCATTGAGAAATCGATTAAATTATGATCATGTTCACTGTAGAAAGGATTTGATTCTAACCGATTCGGTTTTGTATGCTGTTATGGGTATGAGGGCGGATGTTACATCCTGGCTGATGACACTAATCTGGGGAGTCTCATCAGTGCTGATGGCTGACGAAATCTCAGCACATATACAGAAGGCTCGATTGGCATTCACCAACTTGCATCACTTATGGCGTAGATGAGATATCCGTTTGCTAACCAGAGGACCGGTTAAACGCGCAGCAGTTCGCTTTGTCCTACTTTATGTCTGTGAAACATGGCCAGTCAGAGTAGAAGATATTCGTAGGTTGCTGGTTTTCGATCATAAGTGTCTCCGAAACGTTGCTCGTGTATCGTGGGACAACAGAGTAAGCAATGCAGTTGTTAGGAAACTTCATGAGTTCAGGTGATTGGGACATGTGTTACTTATGTCGGACCACCGACCACCTCTTCAAGCTATGTTTTGGAATGTAGGAATAGGTTGGAAGAAAGCTAGAGGTGTCCAAACGAAAACATGGCGCAAATCCATGAAGTCACTGACAAGTGGACTAAGTCGTGTTGGTGGGTGTAGACTACCTGGTTGGTGTCCGCGAGATGATCGTAATCGATAGTTAGAGACCCTAAATGACATGGCTCAAAACTGTTTGCAATGGCTCAGGTGCATTTATTCATTGTGTTCTCTCGAATCGTAAGCTGAATTCCTCATCACCTTTATCTTTTTCTTTGTAAGTTTATTTCACTAGATTCTACCTCTTGAAGAATATCTTCAAACCCTTACATTTTCGATTACTGCTAATACCTTTACTATCGCTACCACTATGGGCTTTGAACTGACCATTGCGTCTCTTTGCTAATGTGGTATGGCAACTTGAACTGATGTGTGTATGTACGTGCGAAGTTCTATGTTGTAACTGACTGACATGTTAATTGTTTCATCTTCATTTACTTATCCAATCCTGTCATCATATTTGTTATGATACATTAAATAGTACTGTTTATGAATTTCAAATTAGCATAAAACAAATGTCCACTTCTGTATCATTTTAACCATCTCTATTGTTACATATATTTTTCATGAACTTTCATGATTGTCTACTTTTTTTCTTTTTTCTTTGAAGTTTTGTTTCTTCTACCTGAATTGAATTCATATAGATTAACCACAATTACTAATGATGATAGTCTATTGTTTCGATTTTAAAAGAGGAGAAAACAACAATAATCATAATGATAATAATAAAGAACTGTACGCTTGTGTTTTTAATAAGTACTCTATTTATTCAGTAGAAAATTCTCTTATAAAAATCTAACAGTGTATTTATGATTAAAAATTATTATTCATAGGAGATATACTAACATCTGATTCACACAAAAACTATTTAAGATGTTTTATACAATGTTTATGCTTGTAAAAATGATTGTTATTCAATCACTATATAATCCACTGATCGTTCGCATTCACTCACTTTATCACCTTTCTCCTCTATCTCTCTCTGTCTTAATGATGATAAACATTCTTTTTAAAATTGTCAGTGTTATTCTCTTAGGACATTATTAATACAAACTTTGAATTTACTGCTCAGTATTATCATTATTATTATTATTATGACCATTTTGTATCAAGGGCAATAATATCCACTCACACTCTCGCCTCAATCGATGCATGTACATGCAAGTGTACAAATGTTTACTTGAATCGTAGTCATAGTTATGATAGTTGTGTGTGTGTGTGTTTGTTTACTTGGAAAAAAAAGTACATACACAACCTATGAACGATTGATCCAATCAATTAATCGATTTAAGTCTATTCATCATAATGTGTATCATTTGATAATGATTAGATAGTAGTAGTAGTAGTAGTAGTAGTATATATATATATATATGCACTTGTGTTCTTCTTATAAACTATTTTTATTGTAAGTTAGCAAGTCAAATAATTTATTGTTTTTAGTTAATGAAAAGAACAAACATACATACAAATAGCAATACATACATTTGTACTATTTCATTTTTTTCTATATATTTTTTTTCTGTATTGTTGTAATTGTTGTTGTTGTTGCCTTCTATAACTTGTATGCAGGGAATAATTCATTTGATATTATGTATATAGAAAATTGTATAATTATATTTGCTCAATAATAGCATTATGAATAGATATATATATGTGTAGGTTAAAATAAATAAAATTATAAAATAATGATGCGTATCATGATAATTAATTTTCGTCATCATCATCATTAATAATAATAATTATAATTATAATAATCTATGATAGTAGAATTACCAGTTGACAATAATATGAGCATGATATTATTACGATTATTATTATTATAATCAACTGAATTATGTTCATATTGTGTTTTACTGAACTTATTACTTTCATGATAGACTGTGTATATATCGTTTCTTTCTGTATTTTTTTTTTTTGAAATATTAGCTTTATTCTTTATAATGTATATTTTGAATAAAGAAATGAAAAAGATAAAACATGCTCAGTTGACTGTAGAAAAGGATGTCATATCCTTTTTTTTCTTGAAAAAAACATTATAACTGAGTTATTTTTATCAGTAGACAGAGAGAGAGAGAGAGAGACTAAGTCAGTCTATTAATTAACCCATTTACTTATCAGGATATATGCCTAGTTAGACCGATTAAATAGTATCATTCATCACCTTTTCAATGTGTTCAATGGTCAAAATGTAATGTTTTCAAATATGTGATTGCATCACATATCAATTGTACATGTTGTGTTATTTTTTACTTATGAATTTTTTCTACATAAATATTCTGTCCTGTTATTAAATGTTTCCAATGCATATCACTGTAACTTGTACTGTAGAATTTGTGAAGTAGGTTAACATTTCTATGGTTATTAGGATTTATTGATTGGTTCGGAAATCTGACCTAATTATGCCTATAAGTGGTTAGCACTTTGCTGCTGTACATACTGTTGGCAGCTTGTTTACTCCATCTTCCTTCTCTGTAAGCACCTCATCACTAGCTCTTGATAGATCTTGTTATTCAAATTTATGCAGTAGGAAACACTAATCCGCAATGGTAAAAATTAACAAGAAACGATTCCTAATAAACGTGACGGTTAAATACGATACGCAAAAAATACACCGTACCATAAAATTGCTGTATTTATGTTAATTGTGAGGGTAATTACATCAGCCTCACTAAAATCAATTTCGGGACATACCGCCTCGAGTCTTCAGCTACTGACTGTGACACAGAAAGTCTACCCAGTTCAAAATATCAATCAATCTTATGTCTTTGTTCGATCACAATTGAATACTTCATAGCTCAACTATCGAAAAACGTCAAGCGTTAAATCGAACGTTTAAATGAGCGACTCATAAGTTTTGAATCATTCCAAATTGCGTACTGTATAGTTTGTTTATCATGTTTTTAAATACTATTTGGTTTATAGTATTTCGTTCTCATTTATTAGTCAGTTATATATAGGTCAATTGAAGTCGGAAAAGTTTTTAAACGTTCTGATAAGAATTAAACTTTCTTTAATTTGTGTTGATTTCATTCTGTTTAGGGAATTGCACCTTTGGCGAACTCATTATCAGGTGGTCATTCTGGACCCAATTCAGTTGATCAAGCACCTGGAAGTGTATATGGCTCTGATTCAGTGGCTACGCCTCAAGGAATGTATGCCTCCCAAGCTGGGACTGTTTCACCGTTACAGGTGGCTAATAGTTCTCATCTGGCATCACAGCTTCATTCTCCATCGGCTTCTGGTGGACTCCATTCACATCAACCAACACCATCTTCAATTCATTCTCCATATAATCCTTATCATCATAATGCTGGTCATATATATCAGAATCAACAATCTCTATATGATCAAAATGCATTGAAGGTAATGCCTGGCACTTCACCTTCACCTAATCCACTGCAAAATTCTTTCCGGCCTTCATCAAATACATCCTCACCTAGTTCACAATTCATACCAACTACAGTGAACGCTTCCGGTCTCTCTTCACCATGTTCATCACGTGTACCTAACAAACAGTATTCTCCCCAACTAATACCTCATCAACAACAAGGTTCTCCTCAAAATCGTATACCTTGTCCCGGAGGAATTCAAAAACCAATTCACTCTCAGGTATTTAGTTTAGTTTTAAATTACTTATATAGGAAAATATTATTAACTCAATACAACTAATCACAAACTAATTAGATATGACTTTGTTAAATACTCTCTACAAGGTAAACTTAACTTAACATTAAAATTTATTGTTTCAATCGTTAACTAACTGTCTTCAATTTTTAGGAAGCAGAATATCTCAGAAAATTTTACAGTCACATAACTTATTGCATAAAGGTACTCTACCAGTTTAGTGTAATACACTGGATGCAGTTCTCACTCAGTCATACAATTATGATTTCCAATAAAATAATCCTCAATAATATCAGATAGTCAGAAATTTGGAGATAGGCGTTAATACCGAGAGAGATTTTTTTTCAATTAGAATTATGGAGATTAATGTTTTTACACATTTTGGAAATCATCAATCAATCATTGTTAGACCACCATTAGCAAATCTGGAAGCACTGGACCGCCGTTTCTTCCTGGTATGGGACTGATCAGCCGTGCTCATCCACGACTACTGCACCTCGTAGAATTCGAACCTGTGACCTTCTGTATTATGCGCCAACGCCTAATCTATGGACTACTCGGTTGGCATCCAACGGTGTTAATGTCTAACTCTGATTGTCTCAGGGATTTTGCGCGACCTCACCCATTTGCCTACACGACAGTGTTGAACTCCACCGGTCACGTGTTCTCACTAGAACTCCGAGAATTTCCTCACGAAGCTAGTCACTTCTGCGAGGTTCAGGAGTCATGGATGCGCACTGATGGATGAAACGGCCGTCCAATGCTTCCAGGTTTCTAATGGTGGTCTAATAATGATTAATTGGTGATTTCAAAAAAATGAGAGTTTTTTTATTTGATTTTAAATTCATCTGAATCAATCAATAAATCCGAATTATAATCTGATTATTCTCTTTTTGGATTGATTGTTCTCTAAATTAGTTTAAACTTTATTGTATTATTTAATTTGTTTAAATCATAGAGGTTGATGTACCAAAATATTTTTGTTACCTTTTAAAAAAACAAAAACAAAATTATTCTAATGGTTGCATTTCATAGTTAATCTGTTGATGAATAATTCGTAGATTTAATTGTTAATACTGACTATAAATTACAAATATCACACTTTTTCTATTGTCAGATGATTTCCAATAAGTTTCTATTATTCCTCTGTCCAGTGATTAATTACTGTGACTTTTCAATTATGACTTATTTGCTATCGATTGTCAGTTTGAATGACACGTTTATCAAATTAAATGTCTAAGTAAAACATCACCAACTTAAATATATCCATGTGAATTTATACAATTTAATTTTTCTCAAGAATTATAATTCAACAAAACAGTATAATGTTGTTTAGACGTGGATGAATGAAATGAATTTTTTGTTTATAGTCTAGAAAATGAAATCCAAGATCTTAAGAGTTTACTAGCTTTGCAATGTAAGTGATGCGCAATACCTACGAACATCGATTAATTGTTTTACTGTACACTATTCATTGTGGAATGAACAGTGTTTGATTTGAATTTTCTATACGTAACACACGTGTAATATTTGTAGAAATTTCAATTGAAAGGGAAGCTAATTTCTTTGGTTGTACAATTTTGATTTTATGGAAAAATAGGATCAGTTCATACAGTATATAAACTATAAAATAACTAATATTTATGTGAAACATTTCAACAACTTATAAAGTGTATCACTTACACAAAGTCTTTAAATATTGGTTTATCTAGAATCTTGTCTAAGAAGCCAACAGTTCTATTACATGACTCATGTTTGAATTCGACAAAATTCCTTATCTTATTATTTAGCTACTGGGTCTAAATGAGTAGTTGTTATGTCCTGATGAGTAGTGTGCGGTTACTTTTTCTATTAGTCAATATATCTCAGTGACTGAAACAACACACTTTATCTCCAATATATATATATATGTTTATTTTCAATTCATCTGAAATTGAAGGTAGGCGATCTTAGTGAATAGCTCGTTATATCTTAAACATAAATATATAGAAGAGCATTACTTCTCATTAATTAGATGTGTATACCTGATAAATATCTTTTATCATTTTGTTAGACGAAATTCTTTCATATATAACAACAAAATAACATGCTTTCTAATATCGTCTATAATTATGCTTCATACAAAACTGATTGTTTATATACCACTGTAAAGTTAAGCCTTTTTATTCATCCCACATTGGTTTATACCTTATACAATAAGGTTATTTGTTTAATTTATTGTGAATGAATGTATGAATTAATAGAATGTAAGCAATCTTTCTTTCTACTTTATTTTCAATCTTTTTTTTTGTTTTCTTGCCATTCATCTCAAGTGTTATATACTCTTTCTATATACACTATGTATATCTATCAATCCTTATCGATTTTTGTTACTATTTTTTCTTTGTCGATTGTTTTTTTTTTCAGATTATTGTCTCCCTGACTTTTTTTTATTCTATTGATTCATACGTTGTTGTTTGATATTGATTTTTCTCACTTTATTTTTAACCGATCGTTTTTTTTTCTATCTGTATGTCATTCACTTTGTTGTCTTATTGTTTATTGTATTGTATGGTTGTGAAGATTGTTAAGTTACAATATTTGAAATCATTAATCGATCAGAGTTTGGCCATCATTGGAAACCTGAAAGCACTGGACGGCCGTTTCGTCCTGGTATGGGACTAATCAGCAGTACACATCCACGACTCCTGCACCTCGCAGGATTCGAACCTGTGACCTTCGGTCTTGCGCGCGAACGCCTAACCTCTGGACCACTGTTCATCATCATTTATTAAGACTGATTTTATGGAAAGTATATATGTTATGTCATGGAAATTTATATCAGCAACTGATATTTAGAATCTTATGGAAACTGATGTTCCCTGTGGGATTTGAATCTGCATCATACAGTTTCCTACTCTGTGGTGTTATCAACTAAACTGAAACGAGCCACGCATGTCGTATTTGTGTTTTAGTATAACTTAATATGCATTATGTCAATGAATTTTTACACGAATATTTTTTACATATAAATCAAGTCGAACCTCGACATTTTGTTTTATTTCAGTTATGAAAAATTGTTGTCTCTAAAAGGTTTTAGTTCTTACTGTTATTCATATCATTGTTATTATTATTATTTGTATGTGAGAATATGTGACTTTAGAAGACTATATTCTTGATTTCTGATAATAATATTACAGTTAAGGTGGTGGTTTTGTTTACGTTAATCACCGCAACTATGAATGAGTGATTTAATGTGACCGTAAATAAACTATTGAATTTCTACTATAAGACATTTTTAAGTAAAAAAAATTTTTAAGTGTAAAAACAAAGTTGTGATTTGTTTATTCATAATATATGAAATAAAATATCATTGCTTTTCTAATATACTACTATGTGCTTCACCATAGTTTGTGTGTTATTTCTGCTTATTAAAAAAAAACTATAGTTTATTCGTGCGAATAATAATAATGGTAGTAATAATCAACTGTCAACAAACAATCATCAAACCAATGAAAATTTTACTACACATTCCAGATCAAATACACCAACGAATGTAGTGTATAGTAATAATGCAATAATTAATTCTAGCCCATTGAATAATACACAATATGGTAATAATTATATGCCTAAAGATACTATGCAACAACATCCACAACAGCCACAAATGAAAATATCCAGTCCACAACCTCCTTCATGTCTTCTTGGGTAAGTTTTACTTGACATGATTGTAATTAGTATATAAACAAGAATTATAAAATTGTTTGTTTTGTTTTCAAACACTGAAATAAACATGAATATTATCATGATGAGTTATCAATAACTAATGTGGATCAATCTACTTCATAATAAAGAAAGTTTCAAATTATTTAATATTTACGCACTAACTTTGATTAAACAGTCGTTCAAAGCTCAAAAACACTGAACAACTGTTTTGCTGCAGCATGAATTTATCCACCTACAATACTACTTGAACACCAACAATCCAGGTTACAATTCATTTGAGGTATTTGGTCCATTAGAGTTCTTGATACTTGTGTCGTTGCGTTACACAATTGAGCTGTGCTCTTCAGGTTTAAAGAACCTGGATGGTATCTAGCTCTGATGAAAAATCATACCGTATTTTAGAACGTTCTTATAGCTGTATTTTTGTTGGAGACATTAGATCCCCAGAACTCGCTTGATAAAGGTCCTAATTTTGGATTTTATTCATGGGCTGATCAGTTGACCTTGAGATCACATTTCCCACCAGTAAAATCCTTGACTGTCATTGGTTGATGTGTTATTTTAGTACGCTATTTTTGTGGCACTCCCAAGGACGTGCCTATGATGTATAAATAAACTCGATTTGTGTGCTTGTCAACCTCGATTTTCTGGGTGCTTGTAGAATACATTTTCTACGCTATATCAAGACTTCTTCTTGAGTTAATTGAGGCAACAGATCAGAGTAGCCTATCATGTCACTGGGTCATTGTCTCATTTTCGTTTATCAACTCAGGTGAACTCGTATTCAGAACTGGTATTCAGAAACGTTGGATGATGATGGAATTGCATTCATTTCTTATTTTGTTCTAGATTTTCAGTTCCAGCATTCTTTTATTACATTCTTTTCCATTATATCTTCTTAGACTGTATTTCCAATGTTGAATTTTTTGTCATTTTTAATTAATATTACAATTATTTCCGTACCTTGTTGTTCATTCTGTTAATTTCAACTCAGACGATTTATATTCAAACAACTTAGACTAACGCATATTTTTGTCTTTTTCTACATTCACTAAAACTAACTGAATTGTATTTGACTTTCTTCAATTTATAAAAAAAAAAATGAAATTACGGATCATTTTGTTTTTCATTCATGATTTCACATTAGATAACAACATATCAATCTTGATTCGTATAAGTACCTTGATCAAAAATTTTTCACAAATAAATTTTTTACACTTTCTTAGTCTTAATTAGCATAAGAGTCTAATGTTTTGAAAGAGCTACTATTCTAATTGAAAATGTATTATGAATAATAGGCATGCATCAAAATGTTTCGTCATTAAAATGCTTTTGAATTTCTTATCTCTTCATTTGTATTCAATAATCTATGCTTAGAAAATTAATTGTTGTGCATTAAATCACTTTACTTTATATAAATTGTAAGAGTCAGTTTTAATTGCTCTAAACTGTATTATATACACTTTTCTCAAATATTTGTATTTGATACAATTTATATTTGAAAGTAATATCCCAATATGTTTATTGTTAATTTTATTACTAGGCCTGATAATAGTGTAGTACAGCATTCATCTAATCTACCTCAACCCAATATAACTGTTTCACAGCAAAATCAACGTCGGTCACATATTTTAACGAATACAAATATACCAGTTCATCAATCGCCTCAACTATCTCAACAACAACCGCAAGTATGTCCATCTAGAACTTTGTTTTGGGAAGGTGAAATTCATATGGCTGATTCAAATAGTATGTCCATGACTAATCGTTTTCCACTGCGTCTACTATTAGAACAATGTGCCGTACGTGATATGAGGTATGCAAATATACATATATATATATATATATATATATCTTTGTATATGCTTATTTATTTATTTGACTTCATAGCTATTATGATGTTTCTTTTTACATGAAAAACTTATCATTTGACTGTATGATTAATTAAACAAACGCCTCTATTGAGAGGAGAAAAATGTACACAGTAAACTCGGTAATCTTAAGCAACTGATAACCATCAATTACTATCGTCTCTCGGACCCCGGCATGGTAGTTGATGCCTACCAACATGACTCAGTCCACTTGTCACTAACTTCATGGATTTTTGCCATGTTTTGGTTTGACCGCCCCTATCTTTCTTTGGACCTACTCCTACACTACAAAACATAGCTCGACGAGGTAGTCGGTGGTTTGGCATACGTAACACATATCCCAATCACCTCAACTGATGAAGTTTCAATACTTCATCGTTTCCTAGCAACAGAATTGCTGACTCTGTCAGTCATTAGACCACTAGTACCGATGACACTCCTGAGATAAATGGAGCGGCCCAGACGCTCATCTGCTTCACCTTCTATCACTAGTCCAGGTGCCGTCGCAAACCAATCCTGAAGCAATATTTTGCATTTCAATGAGGAGAATTGCACCCCGAACATGCTTGCATTGTTGCTTCTCCAAATAGGACCATTTTATCGGCATGAAAAAGTCAAGCAAGAATGGAGAGAGTGGACATCCCTGACGGAATTCCGATGACAGTTCTTCATAAGCTGTAACTCGGCCAGAGGTGTTCGAGTAGAGAGGTTTTATAAGGTCGATGTACTTCTCTAGTACACAGACACTGCCACGGAACCTCACGATCGACAGAGCCGAATGCCGCTTCACGGTCGTTACATACAAAGATTGTGGGACGTCTGAACATGTGTCTCTGTTCTAGTTACTGACGTAGTGTAAAAATGTGACGGGACTACACCCAGTTGCCAAATTCTACCTAAGATCTCAGTCGATCTTACTGCTAAATCTTGACCTTCATTCCTAAAAATCTTAGAGGTAAGCCTGTCAGGCCCTGTAGATGTAAACCTTTAACTCCACTCATTTTAAGAAGCCTTACCGCTGGGGACGGATATCGCTGAGGTAAGGTGGGGTATGAAATTTTTAGGATCGACCATTTTTAACGCCTTCATTCCTTAGAAGAAGGCAGCATCGCTGCAGATGCTGGTTGTGCGAAGGAAAAACCTTACTGTTGTCACACCTCACTACAGTGAGCAGTACGACTTCGCCCTTAGACGTTGAGTAACTGCTTTTAGTCTCATCGTTCTCCAATCGACCTGCCTGGCATGGTAGGACCTAAAGGAACAAATGTTCTAGCCAGGATAGGTCGGTTGGGTCATCACGATATACTAACCCGACCACCTCATCAAGGTAGCAGCTACGTTCGAGTAAACATTATGTAATGCTTACTTTATGACCTCAGTCATTTACAGGCCCCATTTTTTCATTTCATCCTTAATTTTAAATGTGCCTAAATTTTATTAGTTACGAATAGCAAATACTTTTTTCAAAATCACTCGCACAATTTTTAGGTGATACTCGTTTTGCTAACTATATGCCCAGCCTACTCTATCCGAACTTATGATCTTCAGAAACCACATAAGGGCCCGAGTCGGAATTATTATAGTTGCACTCCTCGCAATAATTTTTTTGCAAACTGTAGGCTGTTTGTTTCAACGTTCTTTCGTATATTTTCTTTCCAAGTCACTTAATTTAGACTCTTTCAAAAGTTAGTTTCCCTAGTGTTGTCTAGCTTTCCAGCTTTGGGATCAAAATTTTTGAAAGCACCTAGTCCATACGTAAAGACTCAGTTATTTCTTACCAACTTATAGTGTCATCGAAACAGTATTTTAGTTTGATTAGGAACGAGCATACCTAGTTGTATTGTACCATTAATTGTAAATCATGTCTACTAAAATTAACAGGTGATTTGCTTTCACCTTTTGGTGACATGTATCTGCATTAAACAATGTAGATTCACTGAAAGGATAGATTTGTGAATATGTACTTAAATTAAATAAATTGGGTTATATATTGTGCATAGTTAACTGTAATACGTCCTCATGTAGTAGGTTTCATTTAAACTACACTCACTCACCTTCTATCCAACCAGCTCCACATTAAATGCATATTGTAGAAAAGCCAAAGCATCATTCGATTCTTTACATCTGATGTATAACATATTTAGTATCTATTGTTTTCATCTCATGATCTGTAAAGTACAAGTAAAAATCTTGATTCTACTGTTTCTATTTCGATTAGTTTGGTCACTTAAAGGTTAGCCTATTTCGCTTAATAGTTCTACTTTGTTATTATCATCGTCGTAGTATATTGGTAGAAAAATGAGAGAATAGACTTGAGTTTATTCATGTATATTGTGTTAACTATGTAACTTTTAGTACAGATCACGATTGTTTTATTTGAAGAAGAAAAAGAGTTAATAAATATTGTAATTTCACATTATTGACATTATTTATCTTGTATAAATTTATTGACAAAATGAAAATCAAACTAATGTTTATTAAGATGAGAGAGAGAGAGAGCATAAAAATGAGTGGGAGACTTATACAAAAAAATATAATATGTGTATATACACATATATGAATAATGATGCCGTTTTGGTGATGGTTATCATACATGTGATGTGATAGAAATATGATATTACAATGAACATTTTTTCTTATTATCTATTCATAAAATACACATCAATGCACACAAATAATCCGCTGTTTTTTTCTCTCTTTTCTGAATATCTACTTATGTATTTACTGTTTCGATTACAATGGTAACATTCTTTTCTGCTTGTTTTTTGATTATTGAATCCTCTTAATGTTATTATTTACTTTATTGAATTCTATTCTTATATGTTATATGTGAATTTAATCATCCTTTTTTCAGTGTTTAACAATAGTGCAATCAATATCTACCTATTTCGATCATTATTTCGTTCATTTTTTATGAACCGACGTTCTGCATAAGAGCATCATTTCCACTAGAGATTTTAGGTCAATCACCTAGAAACTACTACATATATACTGCACTGTGACACATCCTGTGCTAGGTTAGGATGACAGGTCAATAGATGAAGTACAGAAACCTCACCAATTGAGGTGGTTGGGACATGTGTTGAGTATGCCAAACCACCGACTGCCTCATCGAGCTATGTTTTGCGATGTAAGACTAGGTCGGAAGAAAGTTAGGGACGGTCAAAGCAAAACATGGCACAAATCAATGAAGTTACTGACAATTTGACTGAGTCATGTCGGTAGGTGTCGAATACCTGGTTGGGGTTCGCGAGATGATAATAATCGATGGTTAGAGACCCTGAGTGACATGGCTCAAAACCGTTTGCAGTGGGGCAGGTGCATTTACTCATTGTGTTCTATGAAATTCTAACCTGAATTCCTCATCAGCTCTATCTTTCTCTTTCTAAATTCACCTCACTGAATTATACTTCTTGAATAATATCTTCGAACCCTCCTAATCTCTCCGATTACTGCTAATACTTTTATAACCTCTACTACTATGGGATTTGAATTGAAAACTGCGTCCCTTTGCTAATGTGGACGTACGTATATACGAAGTTTTACGTTGCTATTCACTTGTGACACATCCTAACTTACCAAATAAATTGAAAGGGAACTTGGAGCTTGAAATAAAACCATCAGTGGGAATTATCCTCTAATATTGTCTACTCTCCTTAGAATGAACAGTAAACTACTCAACAATGCTTGATATCGCAGACGTATTCATTATTAACAAGTGGTTGTTTCATGAATTCACGAACAGATTCTATCTCGTTGTAACAATCACATAGAAATCAATCTTGACTTTACATCGAAATCTGTATAGATCTGTAATTATTGAAGATACTCAACAACATTTTTATTGTGCACATTCCACTCTAGTTAAGGCACTTATCAAGATGGTTTGTTTGTTAATGTCAAATAATTTTCTATGACACTGCAAATCATATATATTATAACTAGTTGTTCAGTCTTTGATAAATGTGCGTGTGAGTCAGATTAACAACCTTTCAATGGGTAATTAGATTAGATGAGCTCTCCCGATAGTAGTAGTTATCTAATCACTGAAAAATACATCTAATCTAATCATTCTACTAATCCAACTCCATTTTGCGTGGTGTCTTTCTCAAGGTTGAAAAAACTCTTTGTTATTAATTATCAGTAAGCATAAGAACAAACTAATAACTAGTTAACGAAAATCGACTGTTAATAACCCCTTAGTGTAATATATAGCTCAAAATCGGTCACAGTAGCGTAGTGATAAATAAATATACTCCTTGTCTTTGAAATTTAATTACATATCATTTTAGTCTTCGAAACTGTAATTTTATTTTTATTTTCATTGCTTTTGTCTTTCTCTGCTGTGAACAGTCGCGGTAACTTGAATCAAGTTCTTCAGTTTTGTGCGATGTTCGGAAAAGCTATCTTTTTCATTTCCTCTAAACCAATCAGTACTTCTATCTTTTTTTTGTAAAAATTTCCAAGTTATTTACTTGGAGCATTATTCGTCCACTTCATCTGAAGACGAATTTTAGCATATTTTGATTATTGGATTCAAATACTTTTCAGGACTCGATCATCTATGTATTACCAATAATATTCGTACTATTACCAAACAATTCATAATAATGGCTATCAGATTTATATGTTTGAGTAATTTACAAAGATTAAAGTACAACTTAAAAAGCCAATCATAAATTATTTTTTTCTTTCTACATAACGTATATGCCTATTCCTCTCTCACTATACTTAGTACCACTTCTACTAATTTGATGTTCGTTTCACTATACAAGCACGGTAATGATAACTTAAACAAATGTATTCATATTCTAGGTTATACGTAAAGGTTATTTTAAACGACTCAATGATTAATTATTGTATTTGTTACTAAGCTAAATATATTCTGTTTTCTTATCACATTTCTATATGCTTCAAGTCAAATAAATTTACAAATGTGGGGACCTGTAGCACAATTATCAATTATTCAAGCGTATAGAGATAGTCCATTGGTTGAACGTCTTTCAAGTCCACTTGGCAATGGTCAATTATTAGCTCGTTTATTAGTCGATTTACCACCTGTGAGTACATGTAGTCTTATGTGTATGTATATATTATAATGTTATACATTCAAAATACATTATATAATTCTTAATTTTCGATTGATCAACCTGATATAGTAGTAAAGTATCTACTATTTGGCATCATTAATATAATTTAAAATATGATATAGAAAACTTGTGCTTACTATTTGTAAATGAATCAACTTATTTATTTGTATTATAGTTATTTATGCTGGAATGAGTTAAATTGTGTATGTAAAAAGAAAAATCGATTGATTCTCAGTAGTAAATTTCTAAAATTGAAAATACTTGATTGATATTGTCCAATATTAGATTTTGTTTATTGATTATGTGAAAGGTTTGTTTTTACATGAATGAAAGTTTAGACAATCATTTTTAATATGCATCTATATTTAGCAGGATGCTTACAGTGTCATTGTAAGACAACAAATGTACTAATTCAGATGTAATCAATATTGATTATCTTATTCTATGATGGACTGTCACTATTCTCCGGCCTTTCAACAAAAATCAATGGTCTTATTCAACTGACAGCACAGTTTAATACATCCTGACTCACTAACTTTAATGCATGAAATATATTTCTCGAAAAGATCAATTTGAAGATTGATTTAAGAGAACCGCTGTGATTTCTTTGTTCACTTTGAATACTTTTTGAAATTAGTTACAGAATTACTTACTAACTTGCGCCTGTTACCCCCAATCGAGCATAGGCCGCCCACCAGTTTTCTCCAACCAACTCGGTCATGGGCTTTCTTTTCCAATTCTGTTCGGCTGACGTTGATTACTGCCTTTTTGTTCCTCCTTTCTTCAATTATTTCAAGAGTACCAACAGAGATCCATTCCTTGTGATGGTACTTCCTGTGACCCAGAACTTCGTGACATGTTGAAGTGATTGCCTCCTTAACCCCTTTCCAATTGTTCTCCAATTTTGCTTCCTCTCCATTGAGTAGATCCTGAAAGGCCTGGAACCTATTGGTGAGGGCTATCCTGAATTCTTTGAGTTTTACGGTTTCCCGAAGAAAGGCTGTATTAAACTTGTGTGATGTTGTCTGCCCCGTTGTCCAGTGTTTCTTGAGTTTCAGTTTTATTTTAGCGACCAGCAAGTGGTGATCTGAGGCTATGTCAGCTCCTCTCTTGGTTCTCACATCCTCCATAGTCTTTCTGAACTTTTTGTTGATGTAGATATGGTTGATTTGGTTCTGAGTAGTGTGGTCCAGTGAAGTCTATGTGGCTTTGTGTATGCGTTTGTGTGGGAATATTGTGCCACCAATGACCAGTTTGTTGAAGACACAGATTTGTAAATCTCTCACCATTTTCGTTCCTTTCTCTCAGTCGATGTCGTCCCATGATGTCTTCATATCCAGTGTTGTCCATTCCAACTATTGCATTTACGTTTCCCATCAGAATGGTCACAGACATTGAAATTAAGACTCTACATCAAATATATTCTAGTGTTATTATTTCAAGGTAATTTTATTAACAGTTTCCAGTAGAATATATGGTTTCTTGAATTAAAATTATTTCTTTCATGGCAATACACATTAAATTGATTGACATAATAAATTATTATTTTGCTAAAACTATTCATTCTTCAATGAGACAGTGGTTTTGTTCTATTTTGTGTAAGCTTGTTGTAAATCAATCGATAATTGTTGTTGTCATTGTTAAATGTCTACTTAACTTATTTGTGTTATCTTTTCTTTCTGTTTTTTTTTTAAAAAATTTCTTTGTAGGATTCTATTGATGTGAACAATTTGAGCGCGTTACTCTCAGCACAAACCAATCAAATGATGATACCATTGGGGATTTTATCACCGTCCAACTATCGTTTATCCAGTCCTATCCAACCGGGTATTGTAGGATTTATATGTTTAGTTTACAATCCTAATCGTAATCGAATTCATGGTGAGTTTTTTTTTCGTAAATACAAAACAAGTTTTATCGTTAATAGATGAATTGGCTTCTTTTTTTCCCCCATGTTCAACGCTGTTTATCTTCCTTTTCAGTGGATATTTATTCCATCGTATTAGTTTATCATGGAAACACTTTTTTTTCAATTCTATACCCTGCTTTTAAACCTGTTTGTTTTCCCTTTTAAAACGGTACTTATTCATGCTACTTGAAAAATGGATATTTTTGGTCAAGAATTTAATATGCAACCGATGAGGATAACACTATTCAGACTAAATCATTCATTTATTCTTGCTTACACAAAATGAAAATCCATTATTATTGTTAATATTATTATTATTACTATTACTACCATTATTATCGTTATTATGGAATGTATGCCTATTATCTGTGTGCAATTCAAGCTTATTTGTTTTAATTGAATTCAACAAAAGATCAGTCATTTTTTTAAATATCGATTCAATGCTTAAGTTATTGATCTAAGTTAGTTAATCGTTGTTATTAGTTGTTACCTTGAAAGACAATATCTGTATATATATTTATCATGCGCGTAGGATGAACCAATTTTGCTCATCTCTCTATTACCTTATTGTGTTTGCTTTATCTATGCAACATCTTTTGCATTATCAATTGATTCATAATTTATATTTTTTCTAAAATATCAATTTTGGTCGAATCTACCAGTAGTAGAGTAGTATTCATAGTCCGTTGATGGTAGGTACGTATTCTTGCATACTTGGAAAAGTATCTAGATATATACATACAAATAATCTTTTTATGCATGTCTCATTGACTACCATATTGTTTGTTAGATAGGTGTGTATATTTAAATATATTTAGATGATAACACCTAAGTTAAATTGTTTTCCTACTATATATTTTTTTGAGTGTTTTGTTTCGCCATTGTAGCTTATTTGCTCAAATTTATATGTTCATTGTATGTTTGGCTTATGAGATAGAATTAAAAATTTAGATCAGAAGTTGTAGTAGTAGTAGTAGTAGGTTTTATTGTAATGTAACATTTGTACAGTCATAATAAATACGGCATTCATTTACGTGTATGTCTGCGTGTTTCATGAAACTTGTCGTTGTTGTTTCTTTTACTTATTCATGATAATTTTTTTTTACTGTATATACTACGTCTGTGTATGCATGTGTACACACTATTTATTGCTGACACATAGTCTCTTGTAAAATATTTCATTTACGAACAACTATTTCTATTTTTTTCGCATATGCACATATCTAGCTAGACATTATAAACATAAAACCATTTATTTCTGTTTGTGCTTTCTTTTATCAACTAATTCAATTTGGCTACTAGTCGCATCAATGACAATTAGTTGTTTGTATTCGCATAAACACAATGTGAAATTGTTGAATCAATCAATAATTCAACTTGCCTTTTTTTTTAGTTTTCTACTATACATATGGTAAATTAAGTCTACTGGTTTTCCATTATGACAGGTGATGATGATAGAATAGTGATTAGTGGTGGGTGTATTGGTCCTAGCTGTTGTTGTTTGACATTGACAATTATGCTAGATGTCTAATATCATTGGCTTTTATTATTATTATTATTATTACTGTTACAAGTTTTTCATTTCATGTTATTCGCATCTTATTCGCATGAATATTTGTACATGTATGTGTGTTTTTTTTTACTTTAATACTTATATATTTATATATATATATAGATTTGTTATCGCTGTTATTGACCTGTTGTTGTTTTGTGTACTTGCACTTTGTCAATTTATTGTTGTATTTGTTTCCAGTTTTCATTAATAATAATAAGTGCATACAAACACGTTATATATATAAGCCTTAGTATTGAATTAAAATCTATTCTACTCATACACCAAATAGAAGTGCAAGTATACTGTTACAAAAATAATAAAGAAGTGTTTTTTTTTACTTCTTATCAATGCTAATGTTCATATTTGTTGTGAATTCCTAATGACCATCTCTTATTTTATTGAATATGATCTTTAATCCCAAAAGAAGTTCATTCATCCCATTCGTTGTTAATTAATTCGCTTTTTTTGTTTTCTAGAACCAATGATTGTGATAGAGATTAACCTGTATTAATCCAAAATGTAAACTTCCCTTCTAGTCTGATAGTCAGACAGAGCACGAGAACAGTAAATAGATAGGGTTTTTATTGTACAGTTTACTTATATTACCTGACCTCACTGTAATACAATTAGGAAATTATAATTTGTACAACAAGACTACTCTATAACGGAAGTAAAATTAAACACTAGCTCTGTACTGAATAACAACGTGGAGAAGGTAAAACACCAGTTTATGAATCAACTGGAAGCTTACAGTACAGTATTTAATAATTCTGATGATTTAACTTTCCTCAAATCCTCTCCTTTAGTCTATTTCAAAATAGGAGGAAAGTGGAAAATTTATCCCATTTTCCAAACAATAGATTGCATCAGACATGTTTAAGTTCTCTAAAATAATTGTTACATTTCAAAATGGAGTATTAACCAGAATAGTTAAACTACAAGCCATGTAGAGGTATCATTTATAGTACAGAATAGTGTAAGTTGGTTTGACACATTCAATCACGTATTTTATACTGAGTATCTTCTATATGTAAAAATATCCATCTGTTTTTCAGGCATTTTTCTACATATGCTGCATATAGTAGTGTAATTTTATAGTGAAGCTTTCATTCTAAACATCTAAAGCCATTCACATCTGTCTACTATGAATTCTATGTATCGCATCTGAAAATTCAAGCTAAAAAAACTACAAACACAGTTAATGTTAGCGTTCGAAATGAAATCTTCCGTAAAAATTACACTTATATGCCATTGAACAGTGAAAACTTCAAACATACAATCAAAAAATTCATAGTAGCTTTACTCTTAAACTTACTTTGTCGTGCATTTAATTTACTGGTTCACTGTTTCATGCATTGACATGTTTAAACAAGAGCCTGTTCAATCTAGCCTTCTGATAGTCTTTCATTATATTTTGCTTTTATACTCAATTTCAACAAATATTCTCATTTTCACTTGTTATTCTCTTATTATATCTTTATTATAACTATTTTCCATTTGTAATTCTCCGTTGTAAATGGAAAACGTCAGGTTTTTTTAGGATTTTTTTCACAACATCTTTTCAAGCTTTATTAGTAAGTTGTCCTGTGACGAAGTTATTTATTCAACTGTATAATAATTTGTTAGATAGAAGTTTTATTTTATGTAACACAAAGTACAACTTAATGTACTCGGGTTTCAGTCTCTACAGTGTAAATCTAGTTGACAATTCAAATGTAAAATAAGCATAAAGTCGGGTTAAATTGTGAGACGTACTGTTTGAAATTCAGTCGCCTTATCTATTAGGCCACTGCTTATCAATAATATTTTCCACTTGATCACAATATAGAGAAGCGTCAAACCTCAAGTATCATAAGATTTTAACCAAGTTTTCTTAAAATGTTTTTAAATGTAAATGTTAAAAAAGTTCTTTTGTTTTTATCATTTCATAAATATTTGTGGTTACCTCAAATATTCAATAATCATATGGAACATGTATGATAATGTAAAAATTTTATATTAGATAATAAAATTGCGTAATGTTTTTAACATTTTTCATGAATTATTAAAATACACAGAAATATCTATTTATGTGATTAGCTAAGGAATTGATTAAGTCTATTTTTGAGTATCTTTTAATATTCACTGTAGATCTCATAACGCATGAATTTTGTAGATATACGATTATGTACCTTGGTTAGTTGAAATCAAAAACATATGCTTGTCTTTTTATTCACACAACTAATGGAATATTCATGCTTGTTATTGTCTAGTACATTCAAACGTTATAAAAAAATGATTTAAACTAGTTAATTATTATTAACGCTTCCAGAATTCATCATATTTCATCCTGGATATTAGCAATATTGTCATTATACGATTGTGAAGATTGTTGAATTTCATTGAGATCATGAATCAATAAATATACTCACTAGTGACTAGCTTTGTGAAGAAATTATCGTAGTTCTGGTGAGAAGCCTTGGTTAGTGGAGTTCAACTGGGTCGGGTGTGAGACAGTAACCCACCTAAGATAATGAATGAGGTCGAGCAATATCGTGGACTGATTGAAGATAAAGACCAATATTCTTGGCTGCCGGCTCAATAGTCTAGAGGTTAAGTGTTTGCGCGCAAGACCGAATGTCCTGGGTTCTATTTCTGCGTGCGCAGGTTGTGGATGAGCAGTGCTGTTTATTCCTATACTGGAACAAAACGGCCGTCCAGTTCTTTAGGACTAACAATGATCGGTTCAAGATTTCAATATCACTTTTCTCAACAAACCCAAACTAAAAGCTCAAAATCGGTCATTTAATCAGTTACCCCATAAGTGACGCAAGCTGGCAAAAGCCAGTTGAGCCTTCTGTATCCATGCTGAGATTTCGTCACACACCAGGCTATTAGGACTAATGAGACTTCTAGGCTAAGTGAAGTGGTCGACACTCTCAACCGCTTCACTATCTATCACAAGTTCAGGTACCGATGCAAGCCAATCCTGAAGTCTGAACAGTTGTTTACTGTTAGCTATCGCCGCTGCCTTTTCCATTGCTCTTGCATTCGCTACCCACCATTGTTCACGATCATTGCGTAGGCTTTTTATCAGCTTGTGCTTAAGTCGACTCCGCTCTTCGCCAAACTGCATGAGTTTCCGAGCATCTATCAGTTCGGTGGATGTTACTGAAATCCACTGTTTCTCCCTAACCTTTTGGTTTACCTTACAGGCAGAAATCACTGCTTTTTCCACAGCTTTTTGGAAATCATTACAAGCTGCCTGGGATTGGGCATCACTTACATGGCTGCCTGACTCTTTCTAGTTGCTCCTAAAATATAATCTTAGTTATGCTATCATTAAGTAAAACCCTATGAGGTTTACATGCCGCAAACAAATACGCACTTGCACTAGAGCATGGTATGAGTCTAAACAAACGCTCTAGAATAAGCGGCAGACTTCAATGTCGCTTCTCCATCTATGGCTGATAGCAATATGATCTAGTTGGTTCCATCATTGGGTCGGCTTTGGGGACCACTGGGTCAAGAGACGTTTTTCCTTGTGCTTAAAGTTAGTATTTTCTAGAAATAGGCGGTTATCTGAGCATAGCTTCAGCAAACTGTCACCATTACCTGTTCGATCAGCCGCGACATCATATGATCTCCCAAGGTGCCTTTCCTTTTCACTTAGTCTACCTACTTGAGCATTGAAGTCACCATCCTCTATTACTATATTAGAGCACTTAACTTTTTGAAGTTCAGAACGCTTTCTGTAAAACTCATCTTTTACGTCGTTTGAACTGCAGTCAGTGAGGGCGTAGGCAGAGACAACGAAGAGGCATCGGCAAATGTCCCTACCTTTACGAGTACTTACTGGAGCGAGTAAATTTTCGACTAAACATGTTTTCATTGGTTTAGTATTTGAAAAATATCAGTATTCAATGAATAATAATCATAAACTTGAAATGACGACTGGTAAGCATATTTCACACAGACAAAAAGCCACTCTGATTGGATACTGCATCATGTTCAGTTAACTCAATCAAAAATAAATAGATATTCTTTATAAATTAATTTTCATTTATATGTACACATTTTTTTTGATAATTAAAAAATTGTGCATTTAGTAGAAGTACCAAGAATAGAATTTGTATACACGTCATTGACTATGTATTGTAAATAATTTAAATTGTATGTACGCAAAATAATAATCATCCAACGTAATATAAATAAAGATTAAACTCACACTAAAAATAGTTTTGTTATTTTACATTTTCTATAAAATTCATATTTTATTTATTCTTTAAAATTATATTCTCTAATAATGTAGAACTTGATTTAAAATTCATGTCTGTAAATGATAAATAATTTACATCCTAATTTTTTCGAAGTGTAACTTTATGTTTATGAGAGAAGTTTATGTTAACCAGTATTACTAGCTTTATTGAAATTATGAATCCATCACTAGAGACCTGGAATCACTGGTCATTAATACCGCTGGATGCCGGCTCAGTGGTCTAGAGATTAATCGTTCGCTCGCGAGACCGAATCTCCTGGGTTCGATTTCTGTGTGCGGATGTAGTGGATGAGCACTGCTGTTGAGTCCCATACTAGGACAAAACGGTCGTCCAGTGCTTCCAGGTCTAACAATGGTCATTTCAAGATTTAAATGAAGCGCAACAATTTTATAACTCTATAATGAAAATCTTATGAAAATTGTGGGGATTGTAACTATTGACTTTTTTATATTTTGCTAACAATATTAATTATTGTTTAGTTTTCTGAATAATCTTTCCTTTTAAAGGATTACTAAGAATCGTGTATTATCTACTTCGTAAATTTGGGTGTTTTTCTAAACTCTAGTGAAATAACTATCTGTTCAGTTCGTACATGGGCACTCTTAATATCAGGGTTTTTAGAAGTAAATTCGATTAGGTAAATTTGAAGTGATGCATAACTGCAGTTCAACTACGAAGACAAAATGGCTGTTCTTTTAAATGAATTCGCGGCACAACTGACTCACTTGTTGTAGTTATATGTATATATATCTATACTGGACCAGTCAGCATACGTCGGTCAACCTTTACTTCTATCGCATGTTTAATTAAATCAAAATACTGATCATGAATTGTAATTTTACTCAGTAATTATTTCCCGATTTTACTCATTCATATACTGAGTACAGGTATTTCATATGCTACGCTTGTGTCCAAATTAATCGGAATAGGGTAATTTTCCATTCTCCAACCTAACAGTTTTCAACTTCGTATTCTAACCAATAAGCGACAACACCATTTTACTTAATAATGAATGATTCTTCATAGTCATATTTCTATTTGTCACATGTCAGTTATTTTTATGATTCTTGAAACAGAAAACAATCATTTTTGTAGTCGATTTGTACTTTTGTGGTGACATTCATCTCATCATTTATTGTATCCGTTCACTGGGTCACATTACACTTGTTTTTAACTCACAATTGACCATTACTTTAAAACACTATACTTATCAAAATTACCTATGGAAATTCCTCACCTATGTAAAAGTTACACATGATGATGTTATAAGGATAAATCATACATGCATGGATAAATTTTTCCCTAGATAAAAATATCAACAAGTGTGAATTATTTTATGTAGTAGTGAAATGACCAGTTAATTACTCTATTCCAATTGATTGTAAATTTGTCTTATTTTGTTTAATTTCAATGTTTCTCATACATCATTATTATAATTGATCATTTTTTTATCTCTTTAAGCAATTTTTCCTTAAAACTAACTGAATTATTGTTATGTTTATTTTTTCTAAACTTTATTATAGGTTTTGTACCGTATGATTCAGAACAATTTAGACAAGATATTGTAATGGGTCGTTATACTAGTACAAGATCATCAAATAACATGACTCCTGATATGAACAACAATCCATCTGGGAATCATTTTCCACGTGTTCATTCAAATTCTCAAACATTCCCACAAGGACATGTGGATAGTCCGGCAGCTATGTTAAATATCAATCCTCAGTATATGAATACACCATCACATGTAAGTAATAAAACAATTTTCTTTTACTGACTTAATAACAACATTATACGTATTCATTACTTGATTCATCAGGGCAGGTATTTTGTCGATCGTGCTATTATTTATGAACCAAAACAAGTGATGCTGAATCTCACATGTCTTCTCTAACTTACTCATTGGTAAAATTCTGGTTACAGTTTCGAAAAAAGGAACCTAGTTGCATGGATCTTTGTTATGCTTGACAATCGATATGCTTAAAACTATTACGAGTTCACCTTAGTCGGTAAACGAGAGCGAGACGAATGATCCGATAACACGATAGGCTATTCTAATCCGTTGCCCCCATCTCACTGAAGCAAGAAGTCTGGATATGGCAAGGTCTTGAGAGAAGAAGAAGAAGAAGAAGAAGAAGAAGAAGAAGAAGAAGAAGAAGAAGAAGAGCATACAACTTTACAGATAATGCATATTTATACATTTGGGTTGACCTTGAATACTAACCGATAGGGAACAACATTTAAAAGTATGTGAAGTTGATAGTTTAGGACGACCTTAAATATTGACCAATAGAATTAAACTTACAAAACAATTTCTTTAAGATATTTGATGGATATCCTAACAATCTGTCTCCTGGAGACATTTCTTGACTGTTAGCACGCGGATGATATTGTCTTACTTTGCAGCGATACACAGTCCATTTAAATCTCACTTAATCACATAGCAATCTAATACATACTTTGCACTTAAACCCAGAGAACTTCCACAATTATGGTAAGAGCCTATACCAACATTTGCTGTAGGTGGTGGTGAGCCGTCAAAAAGTTCTTGTTTTCGGATATTCGTCAGGTGAGTTCTAGTGGTAGCATGACTGATGCAATCAATCCGCATATATTGGAAGCCGGCTCAGCTTATGTCATTCTGAGTCATCTTTAGAGTTGTCATGATATTTTTCTGACTTGTAAACGAGAAAAGTTTCACTTCACGGTTGTGAAACTCAACTCCTCCCAACTGTGGATGTTCGACTACATCGATGCCTCTGTAATGTTTTATAAATATGATTGCAGAATTTCTACACTACAGATCATTTACGGACACTGGGACTGGTTGAAGAAAGTGGAAAGGTAGTTGGTTTATGGGAGTGAGTTCTTGCAGATCATACTGGTTAGTGGTTTGAATTGTCCACAAATACAGATCAGAATAGAAGCTAGTTTCGATCTCGCCTCAGTGTTCTATTACACTTCATAAGAACAAGATCAATTCTAGTAACTGTGCAAAATCGTTTTTGATATTTCTAACCGAATCATATTTTTTATTTCACACTATTATTCCCTGTTTAAATGATCCTTTTTCACCGTCTGTTTCCACTTTGTGCAAAACATTCTTATTGTCTTGTAATCATAACAATTTTTTTTTTCTATTTATTGCTAATACAAAATAGAGAAACATCTGTTAAAAACTGTTTGTCCAAATGACAAACTGACGACTTGTATCTCAACTTTCATTACAATGCTGCTAACTTTGTTTAGCACCTCGTCTCAGATAGTGATAGCTTTGCTAATTCTTTACCTGTATTTTTTAATACATCAAAAGCAATAAACGCATTGACTGTTTGAACATTTTTTTCTTTTCTTTACTCCTTTAAAAATTATTCTATTCTATAATCGTCATTGTCAACATTATCATTATTAATAGAATCTTCTTCAATAATCATAATAGTAACAATAATCAGTCAGGCTGAAAAATTCTTTCAAAATGACATTTGAAATAAGTAAAGTTGATGTAAAAATGACTTTTTTTTTTCTATCTTATGTTCCATATTCAATCTAAAATAAATTGTACAAGTAAAACTCTTCATGTAATATAACTACTAAGAAGTGAGTTAGTTACATTGAATATATTCGACTGCTTCTCATGATAAATTTCCTTATCATCAATCTATGACATAAATATTTGAGAACAAGATTTGTTGTGTAAGAGAGATTGCAAAGAATTTTTTATTCAGTAAAAATATGCTCTCTCTCTCGCTCAAATTCTTTTTATGTTTAAATATTACCCCGAAATCACTATAAAAAAATTTATATATATATATTGTTAAATGATTTATATTGATCGGGTTTAACGATTCAATAAACTATTCAACAGAATAATTTAAGTGCATAATATTATAACAGCACTATAGTGGAGAATGTATAAAATGAATTAAAAACACTTACTTCAGTGTTTCTTAATACTTTCCGCTTGAATATCAACCAATATGCTTAATTAGGAAATGACAAGACAATAACATGAAACTATTGAAAGTGTTCAATTGTATATATATTGGTCAAACTATTCCCCCCCCCCCCCCAAACATCATCAGTCAATCAATAAATACTCGCATAGTTGGTTTAGATAGAAGAAAACAAAATACACGAAATATATATTTAGTTAGACTCATAAACTATGTCGTTTATGCTGTAAAAATTCGTTGAGTAATTAAAAATATGTATATGTGTAAATAATTCGCTAACTCTTTTATTGACACAAGGATTTTAAATTAATTGTTTTTGGTATAATGAAAGGAGACGTATTTCATTTTTTTTTTCGTTTATTCAGATGGGAAATAATAATAATAATAACAACAACAGTAGTATTATTCCATCTCGTGATGCAAGTCCGTGTAATTCCGTTAATCCTACATATCAATATCAAAATCAATCGTCGCATATTCCACAATATATGCCACAACATATGAATTCACAACCGCAAAATCCAACTAAAGCACAAATATTAGGAAATACTACTACTTATCAAACGATTCAATTAAATCAACGATCTACTCCATCACCACATAGTTTGCATGATAATTTACAAACTGGAGCTGCTTATATGCCACAATATCCATTAGAATCAGAGACATCAACTCAATGGATAACTAATAGACCTGATACAATATCTCATCAGAATCAACAAATTTCAATTCCAAATAATACTGTACCAAACCAGTCTGTACGTTCTATACACTCTAGTCAGAATTCGCATATGATTCAGGTATTGATAAACACATTTCCTTTTTTGTGTATCAAGTGAATTCGTTTACCATTTTAAAGACATGTCTTTTCAATTAGCACAGTCTTTTTATATTGTTTTCTCTTGCATCTGGTCATATTATATTATCGAGTTAAATAGTAGTAAGTCGAACTAACAGCATCGTTGTGTTCCTAACCCTTAACTAATATCACGTGACAAATGCAAAACACCAATCAGAACCACGCCTTTACACCAGAAACTTTAAGTCAACTTTAAATTGTTACTGACTCACAATTCGATAGTTTCTCTCTCTACCCCATCTTTTAGGTCTACAAGTCCGTAGACAGCCCCCACAAAATTCGTTATATTTTAAGCAGACATAGTTTATATACCGAACATGCCAGACGACCATATCACACCACAGATTGTTAAAATACATCTATCTATATATGAGCGGGCCAAAAGTGGCTATGAATAGAGGAGACTGTAAATAATTAACTAGCAAACAATAGATTAAGAATGGTCAACCACACAGTAGTAGTTAATGAGTTCTTGATCAAGAGTTTGTGACAAAAGGAATATGATTATGTAATAATCTAGTTATTTTATAATGATACAATGAGACTGCACAATAATAGTCCTTATTCAGAGAAAACAAACAAATAAACAGTTTTGTCTGAAGAAAATACTATACGAATATCGAATTTCTTTTTAAAATAAACATTTGTCCACCTTACATTGTTCATCGTAAAAGTAATTTTTCTGAGCATTGAATTTTTTTTTCATCTTAATTTAAATATCCTTTATTTTTCAATTTTACTAGCAACCTATTCCTCAACGAACTGGAATAAACACTGGGTATAGTAATACCACTGCTTATCATGGTCATCCTCATTCACGACCTAATCTAGATCGTCTGGCACCGACACCAATGCCAGTGCAATGTAATCCGATGACAGATCCGTCAATTATATTAGATCAACCTTCTATTCACAATTCTCCAGTTCCTAACGTCCTCTCCCATGGGCAACAACAGCAACCTCATTCTCATTTTATACCAAATGGTGCAAGAATGCAGAATACTATTCCATCTAATTCTGTCAATTCGTATCATCGTAATAATGTACCACAAAATTCTGGATATTCTCAACCTCAGTCATTTAATCAACGAGAGCATTATATGACTACTACACAATCACAAACTCACCTTTCACCAAGTGGCAATTACCAATGTTATCAATCACGTAACAACATGGTAACTAGCAATATTCCCAATCCATCTGGTCATCGTTTTATTCCTGGTCCACCTAATATAGGGGGGACTTTACAAATGTCTAATCAACCAACACATATTCCTAAACATCAGCACACACCTGTACTTTCACAAGCAGAAAATACAAATAATCGACATGGGACATTCAGTCATCAAAATACACATATCCGTCCTAATCTGTCTAACATGAATTGTAATTCTTCAGTTGACAATATAGGACGACCACATTATCCCATTCCTTCACAAGACCTGCCACAACATATGATGCATACTAATTTACACGGACCAATGAGACAACAGCCTTCATATGATTCATGCGGTCCTAGTGGGGGTGGTGGTAGTGGTGGCGGTAGCGGTGTTGGCAATTCTCAGGGTTTTATTTGATCTTTTTTTCGCTTCAGATATAAAGAGAGCTGTCTGTACACAATGTAACTTTCTGTGATTTTCAATGTTGTGCCTAATCTTGTCATAATTGTTTTTATATTTATTATAGGCTTAACTTGACTGACTAGACTAGACTAGACTGTCTGTCTGTCTGTCTACTTCTTTTACGCTGTGTTTTCTTTTTTTTATTAGCCTAATGTATAAAAAATAATGATGACAGTCTTAACTACTCTATTTATGTGTGTTGGTGACCAGGATTTAAATCTAATAATTTATATATATATATATAAATATATGTATGTATAATTGCTAGAGTTGTTGCCCATATCACTCGTCTTTCTTTTGTGTTCCGTCCTTTCTTTTCTCTCTCTGTCTCTCATATGCACTTGGTTTAGTTGTATGCTCTACCGCGTACAATTTACACACACACACATACACAGCTGTTTCTGCACATACCTATTCTCGTAAATATGGTTATTATTCATACTTTATACCTATCACCATAAATGGTTACTCCTTGTTGTGTATGTTCTTATTATGATTACTACATTTCATCAATTACTACTGAATAATTGTAACTGTGTACATTATGATTATGATTATTATTAATATGGACTAAAAAAATCATCACAACTTTGATTGTTGATTAAAATCGGCGGCAATTCCGCAACCCTTTATTTCGTGAAAAATACATGCCCTCTCCCCCTCCACCCGATCTACAATCTGTGGTGTTCTTGAAATATTTAATCCAATGGAAGAAGAAGAAGAAGAAGCAAATCCAATGGTTCACACTTGTTTGTTTTTTTTTTTTTTTTTTTATTAAAACAAATTTTTTAGGTGTATGGTTCAATTGTTGTTTGTCGTTTTGTTTCTTGTTTTCTTTGCTTCAGAAAAAAAAGAAGAAAATATACAATTAACATTCTATTGGATGTAGGCAAACAACTACACTCTGTGTATTGCTTGTATGTTGAATTATTACTAATTAATTGATTGATTGATTAAAAAAATTGTTTTCTTTGCACAAAATGTTTATCAGGTTTGGAAAAATGATTAGTTGATTTGGATTGTAAAAGGGAATTATTATTATTATTACTGTTGTTTTCTTTGTGTTCTCAATTCAACTAATCTTATTCTTGGTTTTTTTTTATGTACACTCACTGATTGACTTTCTTGCTCATTGACGACCACCAACATGCACACATTCATTCTTAAAATCATCATCATCATCATTGTTTTTTTTCTTTTGTGAACAAAAAAAGGACAAATAAAAAAAAACTCAAACATTTATTGGACTTTCTAAGTTTTGATCAATTAATTAATTAATTATTAATAATAATAATAATTAACATAAATATGTATTAAATTTTATAAAGATTACAGCTTCTTGTTGAATTGATTTCATACTTTAAAAATATAAAGTAAACAAGATAAACAAATTGTTGGCGAAATCTTTCTCCTCTTTGAATTTCTATGGCACAACGTTAACTTCTTCTAACCTTAAAGTGGAAGTCGAGCATTTTCTTCATAGTAATATTCAATTTAGTTGATACTAGATTTTTGATGACAGTGAAGAATTCTCAGCACAACATGCTACAAAATCACTTAAAAAATATGCCTAAAAAGCTTTTAGATAAATAATAGCTGTCATTAGCACTCTTCCATAAATGTTGAATTTCATTCTTGCTCTTTAAACATCGCTCAATATATTCATTTTATCAACCGTATGCTAATCATCTCTAGTTTCTGCAAAGGATAGCGAGAAAGAAAACTATGCGAACTATCGTCATGATAATTCTCGAGTTTATCAGCAATTACATTCGCGGTGGATTGTAAGCGTTTTATCAGAACTTGGGACACAATACAGGAGCTAAAACAAATCTTACTTGAAAAATTTTTTAAGCGTAATTGCATCCCGAAGTTTTATTGTCTACTGTATTGAGATATGGTGAAAGAGGGATATTTCCCAAGAATAACCAGCAGATCCATTAATGTTATTTTTGAAAAAACCGTAAGGGCTGTCAGCCTGATAAAGAAGCACATCTCACCTTCCCACATGGATTTCCGATGACTGCAGTAAGGCCTGAAGAACACAGCTGTTATATCGGACACTTCTTACAAAAAACCCTGAGTATCATCAGCTATAAGCAGACGACACTTGAATACAAGTCCACGAGAACCCCACTATTTCGGTTTCCGTCTCAGGTCATTTATGGTGTGGACATCCGGAATGTGACAACTACCCTCACTTTCATTAGCATTCGTGCTTATCTTGTCCTCAATTTAAAGTTTCCTTAGCTTCATGTTTTGTCTATTCTTACTGTCACCCATTTCTCTGGCTTCATCTTTTTCCCCTCTTCGAAGTAGTATTCGAACTCTCCTGCAACCACCTCCAAACTATGTTGGCGCCTCTAGGTTTGAACCTTATGTTTTTCTAAAACATTCGTATGAGATACAAGTGTATTTCTTGCCTGATCTGACTTAGCCGCTTTGGCGAACTACAGCGATTCTCTCTTTATGTGTATTATAAATATGGCCTAAAGTATAATAGGCACTTTTGGACCGGATTCCAGGAGACAGTCCCTTTTATGCTGCTTGTATATATAGGATAAGAAGAGTTTGACTAGAATCATATTCAGTTTTCTCTTCATAGTCTTTGACTGCTCTCAGGTGAAGTAAAAGATGAGTCCTTACTTTAAACGTGACACTACATAGATATGAAACGTTCGTTACTGAGTTTATAAGCTTTTATTCATTGTGATGATCGAGACGCGTGTTACGTTAATCTACTCAGCACCTACCACAACAGTCGATGCTAAGTAGAATAAAATTGACGCTATAATTGTGATGTATAGTTTAAGACATAGATTAATGTGATCCAAATTTGATCAGTGTAGTGTAGATTTAGTCAGGTTTAATTGTGATTTAAGTAATACTCCATACTTTTTATTCTTTGCTCTTATTTACTACTATCGGACTGTCAGTTAATACACACACATGTATCAGATTTGTTGAGTTGTTCTGGTTATAGTGAATTAGTTGATAATCAAAAAGGAATTCAGTCGAATATTTGTTTAAGATGGGTATCTCCAATATTGTTTTGATTTCTACATAGATTATTTTATTTTAAAAAAACAACTTGCCACTTCTATCGTCGCGATACACGTTTGTAGTAAATTCTATGTTAACATGATGTATTCCTTTTATCTGACAATTTTCATTTTCAGTAACAACCATGTTGTTCTTTATTCCAGTCTAAACCTACACTTTTTTTAGATTATTTAGTAATAGATAATAGCCCTGTTAGTAGGTAGATATCTGGTGAAATCCATTTTTAAATATAGATTGGTAATTTGTTTATTATTTATCAGCACAACCTGGAATACTTTATCTGTGTTTGAAAACTAACTGTAACTCAGTATACTGAGTCAACCTTCATCTTTCTTACTGAAATATTTGATCAAGTATGTATGACATGGTATAATACCCAGGGAAGGGTTAATATGAATGTATTATCTGTACACTAATTGTTGAACGTTAAGTAGTTGATTCAACTTTTCCTATGTTTAATACTAATCTAAATTGCATGGCTTGATGTGAGTCACCAGAAGATTTACACATTCAATAAAGAAATATTCTAATAGGACTACAACTAATGATAAAAGTTTGGTGTCTTTTTTCCAGTTTATATTACAAGCTAATCGTCTTGTTGTTATGACTACATGTCCATGTGCATTCATGTTAGTCCTCAAACTCTTAATGACGTTGAAAAGGCTATGGGAAATCTAAAGCGAAGAAGAGCAGTTGGCTTTGATAGGTCAACTTCTGAGATTTCTAAGGATGTTGGTCCAGTTTTCGCAGTTGGATTGATTCTGGTCTTAGTTAGAATCTGGCAACTGAACGTAATCCAATCTGACTTGTCTCAATCGATCATTTTCCAAGTCTCTTAGAATTATAGTATATGAAATATTATCTTCAATAATACTTCAAAGACTAACTAGAGCTGATGAAGAGCAGACTCGAAAAAACCTGTCTGGTTTCAAACATGAACGTGAATGTATAGATAAGATATTCACACTTCGTCAGGTTCTAGAACATAGACACACGTTTCGACATCCGACAATGTTTGCATTCCTGAATCTTCAGGAGGCGTTTGACTCCGCTGGACGTGGAACTGCTTACTTCAAGTGGCGTTTATCAGGGCTGTCTACTTTCCTCATTCTTATTTTACTTTGTCATCGGCGTGCTTTTACATACGACATTTTCATTGTCTCACCTTTCAGAAGTGGACCTTCCACCAATAGAATGATCCACTTGTTGACCTAGAATATGCCGAGAACATAGTTTTGTTTCATGAAGACGCTGGCAATACTCTTAGCCTTATGATTACCTTAAGCAACAATGCAAACATGCTCAGAATGTGGTTCACCCCTCGAAACGCAAAATATTGCTTCAGGATTGGCTTGCGTCAGCACCTGAACCAATGATAGGAAGTAAAATAGTTGAGCGTGTCGACTGCTTCACTTATCTCGGGAGTCTCATCAGTGCTGATGGCCTAGTGACTGACGAAATCCCATCACGGATGCAGTAGGCTCGATTGGCTTTTGCTAACTTGCATCACTTGTGATTTGTTTTATCAAACTCTACGGTAATAATGACTAACATTAGTCAAGAAATTTTTCAATTATAAAAATGTATTTGAAATTATTCTTATGATTTATTTGAACTTGATAATGAAAGAAGATAGATATGTATCATGTATTGTCATTTCGGTGAAAATTTAACTAAATCACAATTACACTTCCCTACTTGACTGTATATCTATCTATTCATACAAATTAAATTAATAGACGAAACTAATTAATTCGTTTCATTTTTTTTTTCAACTGTATATATTTTATCTTAGTGTTTAATAGATTCTTACCACCTACAATTATCATACGCTATCAACTTTAACAGTAGTTTTATGCAGTGATAATTAAAAAGTGGATTACTTTTTTTTTCTTCTTAATAATTATGATCACTTTTGTGATGTTGTTGTTGTTCATCAACATATACACTACACATTGATGTTTTTCTCTCTATCAACCTTATTTTGGTTAATTTTGCGCAGATTGTTTTTCGCTTTATATTTGTTAATGAATACACTTGACTATTTGATTCATATGAAACTGTGTAACAATATCTTATGTATAAGTAAATAATACTCTAATTTGTATATTTTTTTTCTTTCTTATATCATCAATTTATTTCCAGTTGTGATTGGCATTGTTTTTGATTCAAAATGTACTTCAAATCCTTCCATGTATATAGTTGTAATTGGTTCTTATTGATTCCCTCTGTTGTACATTTTGTTAGTCTGTTCGATTCTATTTTGAGATGATAATATTTGTATTTTATTATAGTTTCTATTTCTTTTGCCTTCACTGAGTTTCTATGTTTCTTTCTGAACTGCATTTATGTTGTTTAAGCTGATACTTAGTCTTGGCGACAGCCATATTGATTTGTTCCTCTTTTGATTGTGTCGGTTGCATTGACAGGAAATTGTGCATTTTGATTGTGAATTGAAGCACTCTTCCAGAATAAGAAACACTCTATGTTATAAAGCAACCAAATATTATTTGTCGAACGAATTTGATTTATCCAGGATGGATAGGATATCATTTATCTGCTGTGTATTTGATAAACTGAACAATTGTTGGTGGAATAACTAAGTGGTAACATTGTTTAGGTAATGATGTATATTTATATTTATGATGAATATTAGAACCGTCATTTATCCAAATCACATGCTCAGTCTGACAGTAAACGATATCATGAAATGTCAACACCTTTTTATCGGAATGCCTAAAGCTTCCTTCCAACCCACTTTCACGTTAGCCATCTCTTGAACATACATGATACCTCTCTTAGCCACACCAATCCTAAAGATTCACTTTCCCACCAGTTGATTTGCTATCTTTACATAGTATTTTATGCTGAACATCAACATTCCTCACTCAATTATCCCAACATTCGCGACCAGTACTTCAAAGATACCTTTGATCAAATAGTAAGGAAAGAACAATTGAGATCATTGATTTAATTCAGATTGCGATACGATTTGAAGGCACAAATAGCTTCAAATTAATCATGTTTCCTTCTCATCACCATTTAAATATGCTGAAGTGACGAGCAACTTAGGAACTAAGTTCTCATTTCATTCTTATATATTCTAGTATAATAATTTATGCCTTCTTCAGATCTCGATCTTAAAACTGAACCATCAAATTTGTACAGTAGTCAACTAAAGTTCGAACCGTTTCAAACAAAGCATTGTTTGCTTAGTAAATTATCAAACAGAAAAGCATCTTCAACAAAAACCTAAATTTCCATGTATGAACAGAAATCCAAAACTAGAACTCGGTTTACATTAAATACTACTTTT